ATAGAAGTAATGCCGGCCAGGTTTGTTCGCTGTGTTTGGTGTGTTCGGTGTGTTCGGGATGTGTGGGCCGCTCTTCTGACCACACTCTCCATAAGACGGGGACAAACAACGACCACCCACTCCGGCGGCCTTCGCTTCGTGGCTCCAATTGACGTCACGCAGCTGCTTGACTTTTGATGTTTGCCTGTGGGCAACACAACACAAGCTAGGCACTGGCACTGGCCTTGGGGGCCGGGGATTTGCGGGGGGCCAACAGGGGTTAAGGGAAAAATTGTTAAATCGATTAAAGTCAAAGTTTTGTCAGATACTCGCAGCCAGCAGCTAAAGTGCGTGAGTGGGCCAGCCCGAAAGTGAAATACTAGACTAGCGACAGCAGCCAGCAGATAATGCCGCCGGCCATCAGTCAGTCAATCATTTCCATCGCTTGCCCCCCCGAAAACCATACTTCCCCCCACCCAGCTGGCCGCTATAAAAAGCAAAGTTTTGCAATCAACAAAAGTTAAAAGTTAGCAGCGCACTAGAAAAGTTTTTCTAATTAGAGCGGACTTGGAACCGCAGGTGTCATCAGCCAAAAGGCGTCATCAAATCAAACTCATTTTGCCTCCACATATATATATCCACGATATTGTGATAGGCTAAGACTTCGGAGATAAGTAAACTGGAAATTTCAAGCTGAATAAATTATGACTCATTTTCCTGATTTTTTTGAAGGAGGCGTATAATACAATTTAAAGGTTTATCTAACTTTGCCCAACTAGCGAACGAATAAACTATAGACCAGAAAGTGTTCAATTTAAGCTTAATCTTTCTTGAGCACAAGGAATCGATTTTCTTAAAATCAGCATTCAAGCACATATAACATATTTGGAACCAAGCCATTTATTTTGGTAAATCCATTGCTTTTTGGCTGTATATCTATGTTAAAATCATTTGGATTAGTATATCTTTTCCTAACCTCTCGTTATTATGGCTCTAAAATAAATAAGAAAATGTTTAGCCAGCAGCCAAGTCATTGGTTTGAGCAAATGTCATATAATATATATTTATATTTTAATGATTCCAAAATGTTTCTGAATTTCAAAGCAAAGTGATAGATTAAATTACACGAACCTTCACAGTCATAGATTAAATTACATAAACCTTCTTACAAAACCCGTTGTGTAAATGCAAAGTTTTAAATTAAAAATATTTTACTTATCAAAATGTGGCTAATAAAAGCACTCTGATTTTGAATAGCTTGAGGCAAACGGCGTCATCAAATTAAACTTATTTAGCATGCACATAGGAGATATAGATAAATGTACACATTATATACAGTGATAAGCCAAGACTTTAGATATAACTAAGTCCATGGCAAATGCGTCAGTGGTGGGTAGATAAGCTATCAGTCGCCGGGGATTTTAGATTGAGACAGACTCGAGACGAGAACTCAGTGGGTCAATCTGGCATAGTATATTACCATGCCATCCTCTGCTCACCAGACTGCTGACATATGTCTTATACACATTTGGGTATCCTATGCGTGGGTGGCTTTTTTATTCAGCATTTTCTGCTGAGCTGCAGACAAATGCCGTGCATATTAAAATCCTCACAGAGACAATGAAATTTATGAGTTTCGCACAAAAGCAAGTCCAAATTTACGACTAATAAACCGCAGCGGGCAGAAATGAAATGAAATGAAAATGCGGCTAGGCATTAGCTTTTTAGTTCGCTTTTGTCCGATGACACATTTCAGGGGGACCTGTCATCGTCATCGTCATCGGCTGCCCCAAAAAGAAGTAGTGACATCTGTGGCATATTGACAACCTGGGAAAACTGAAACCGAAACCAAAATCGAAATCAAGAGGCCTTAAACGAATGGGATCAATGCGCTTGTAGATCGCCAGTTAATTGGCTGACGGCGGCGTATACTTAATCTATTTTGAACTCTGTCAACTAATAATAGTTTGTGCCTCACGTGCCGCCTCGGCTTATCACTCTGCTCCGCAACTTTATCGTTTATTCAATATATACGTAGTGTATGTATGGGAAAAATAAAACTTAATCAAGATAAGTTTCCCGGGAGCGAGGAGGCCAAATGACTGGCATCAGGCGAAGGAAAGCCAATGGAAACTTTGGCCCTGCCATCAAAGCAAAATGCGGTTGCCCTTCTAATTAGTTCGAAAAGGTCTTAGAAGACAGCAAAAAGAAAACTGAGAAAAACTTGCCAAGTTCATGTAATCAAATGAGCTAAGAAAATGGAGCTGGGATAGGAAGAGACTTCCTGAAACCACGACAAGTAAATCCCACTTGGCACACAAAAGCGCCAGAAGTTGACAAACAGATTCGTTGGGAAATTTAGCTTCAAAGGCACATAAGAAATAGAAAACAGTAAAAAAATCTCTTAAGCCATCTGCATTTCATACATTTAACAATGCAAATTAAATAACAAAATAACAAAAGCAGCATAATATTCTTAAAATGAAACAACCCCAGAATCAACTTCTAATAATGTGCCTAATTTCTGCGGCTGTCTCGTATCGATTTTCCCATTCAAATTGCTGGAACCAAATTGCGTCTCCGACATAAAAAAAAAGAGAATTATTGAAGAGCTTCCCAAATGTGAATAGAATAAAATCTTGATCCCCCTTCGCACACTCTATATACTCTCTAAAGAAAGAGGGCAGTGTTGGGTGGTTTGATTTAATTTTTTGTTCGCTTTTTCTTGACCGAAGGTCGTGGCTTTTATTGGCCGTTTTCGTGCCGTTCGTTGCTTCTTTCCTTTTTGGCCAAACAATTAAATTTTCGCTGTGTGAATATTTCTTTTCATTTCGCTTTTCGCTTTGATTGGCGGCGTGGGGAGCGGGGAAAATTATGATTATTTATTCAGGCAGAGCCGAAAATTTGTTGGCCACTTTTTCGATGAAGACGCAAATTATGCGCAATAACTTTTCGGAGAGTGTGACTCACTTTAGGCATGGAAATTTCGTATTTACACATAATTTATCAACATCCGTCAAAGTGCCGAGGCATTATCACCGCAACTCAAAAACTTGTGCAACTAATTAATAATATCAACTTAAGTTTGGCTGTGCCCTAAAGCTGATTTCCATGTTTTTGCGCCAGGTGAAAATTGAATACACAGCAAATATTGCGCATACGCCGTGTTGCTTTTGTTTACGCGATGCGTTCTATTTCTGGATTGCGAAATTAATTGCAAATCAGAATTGAAAAACAATTTTCCCAACCAATTGTTTGGCATAAAGGAGAATGAAATGAAAGGTGAATATCGCCGGGAATAAAAACAGAAACGAGGATAATAAAAAAGTGCTCTTCGCCGCCTTTGTCGTTTCAGTTTTATGATGAGTTTTTCACGTGCCGCTGTTCACCCTTGTCAATTCCAGTTTCGGGATACTAAGAAATATAAAACATGAAGGGAGGCCAAAGGACTCTTGTCAATAAAAATGCCTTAAAGCCGACTGGCAACTTTTTCATTAGTTTTTTTTTAAGAAGGTTGGAGGGGGGCGCAACTACAAATTCGTTTGTATTTTTGGAACATTTCCCAGTGCCGAGCAAATATAATCGATGACTTTTTATTCCCGGCCCCCATTACGGTTGGCCAAAGCTGCGGGGGAGAATCAATCAATAAACGAGGAACCCCAGCTGAAACTAAGCCGGTCCATAAGCTCCACGGGTCCAGGAAACGTGAGGACATGACAGGAATCTGCGCTCGACCTACGCCAGTGGAAAAGGCGAAGGGGAAGGGGAAGGGGAAGAGGTCCGAAGCCATAAGCGGAATAAGGGCCTTTCAAAGGCGGTGGCCCCGGGCTATTGAATCGAATACGCATTGAAGTTGCCCTGCCACCGATTCACTATACATAAATTGTTGCCCCACACCCGCCGTCCTCTTCACTTGGAATTGAATTTGGCTTGGAAATTGTGTGTTTTGCCGCTGATGGATGGTTGTCTGTTGTCTGTCGTCTGCTGTCCAACTGTATTGCCAGGTTTTTATCCTGATTTTCTCTCTTTGCGAAAATGCCAAGTATACAAAATGGAATTAATTACAAATACAGCTCATCGAGGACGAGCACGGGAATTCGTTATCGGGATTTCATTTGCAATGGGAGAAAAGCGGATTTCCAAAGAAGAAAAGTAGTTGGATTATGGCATAAAGTGTCCTCAGCTGTAACTAAAGACTTGAGCTCTCCATCAGGTGCATTTCAAAGACCTTTAAAAAAATTTGAAAACAATATATATTGGGTGTATTAAATAATTGGTGGTATCTAGACACCCAATCGATATAGAATGTTTTTAGCCTGAAATATTGGTCTCCACTTGGTAAACGATTTATTAAATATAATAAAAGTTAAAAATTTTAATTGCTACCCAGTTTTTAAAATAACTTTGTTACCTTTTACGAACTAAGACAAACCCTTTCATTAATTTATTTATTGCACAATAAATTGCTCCTAAAAGTATAAAAATTATTGTTGAGTTTATATTCGGACACCAGAACACATTATATAGGTTTCTGGCACTCACCTGACTTAAAGATAAAAGCCATACCTTATGCAAGATTTTCAGTAAGTCAACAATCGCTTGAGTCTACTGTTTGAGTTATTATTTATTGCACAATGTGTGGTTCTCAATTACATGCATAGCTAACTTTTTATTTATAAATAGAAATTGTTATATTTTTCCAAAGAATGTTCTTAGCCTATATCAGCTATTAGGAGGTATATTATATAGCTTATTTCTGAATATCTCGACGGATTCTTGAGCTCCCCGATCCGATACCCCATTACCTCACCTGGTGTTTCACCTGCTTAAGCAGGCGACTGTCGTTGGCTTATTTAATTTTTTGTTTGCTTTTTAGTTGTGTTTGTTTATCAAGCAATGCCAACCCTTGAGCAATTGATAAGCGCGTGAAATATTTAATCGCACGGGGAGGCAAACAGAAATGGCAGCAGAATCGGAATAAAAGTGGAAATGGAGTGGATTCGAACGCGAGTGGAACTCACCTTACTTTCTGCTTGGCTGTCACCTGCTGGCGATGATGGTTTTTGGGTGGGTGAATCTCCTGCGTCCACCTGTTTCACCTGCTCCTCTGGCGCCTCTTTCTCTTTATTTTCTTTTGTTTCTTTTCGGCCTTTTCCTTCCTCTCCTCTTTGCTCTTTATGGCTAAAACCAAATTTAATTTGTTACTTTCGATGATTTTGGTATTTTAGTACTTTTACTTGTTGGCAGATTGGTCGATTTTTCTTGCCGCTGTTATTGCTTTTACTTTAAGCGTTGACTTTGATGTTTTAACAAAAATTCGTTATTAGATTTTGATTGATAAAGGCGTATTTGCTAAGCATAAATTATTATTTCGTGTAATTCACACTCGAGAAACCAACAATAAGCACTTCTGCTATTAAGCTAATTGGATTGGTGTTCATCTATGGTTTATTTTTCAGGTTTGTTTCAGCTTTTAATATATACGGTCTGTTTGCCCACTTTTATAATTTATTTCGCAGCTCTTTTTCAATTATGTTCAACTCCTAAAGTGTTGCACAAACATTTTGACTTTTTAGTTTTAATTTAAAATTTTCACTCTGTTTTTGGAGTTATTATTATTTTCGGTAATTTTTTAAGGTTTGGTTCACATTTTAGTTGAAAACGATTTCGGTTTTCTGCCCTCTGTTAAATTAAAGGCACCTTCAAAATAATTCTTTGCTTAAAAAACATTTGTTCTGATAGGTATATTTTTTCGGATGGAATCTTGGAAAACCAATATGAACAACTAATGAATGCTAAACTATCCTAATTGGAATTTCGCACAGCGCATGCTTTATCAATGTTTTATGTTTCAGTTTTGTTTAAGACTTAAATAAAAACAAGTTTTCGGTTTCGTGCCCATGTAATTGTTTTATTTATTTCCCTTAAATAAACATTTTTGTTTTTGTATATCTTTGCTGCCAATACATTAACTCGTTGAAGTGTGTATGCTTATTTTTTTTGTTTATTTTGTTGCTGCTTGCAACTCCTACACTGGCCCTCAAAAACTGTGTTTTATTTTGTTTATTTTTTGTTGGTTTGTAATAATATATGGGCAAATTCTGATTGGCATCTTGTTGCAAAGCAGTTGCCCATGACCCAATTACCGATTGGCTACATCGATAGGCGTCAATAGCATACGTTGCAGTTGCACTTGCAATTTTTTTGAAAACTTCGCCTGCATTTACTTTTAATTTCAAATGAGATCTGATCTTGTTAATTAAATGTCTGTTGATTAGGACAAGTAATTAGCAAAGTGATCGCTGCGCTTGTTAAAAAAAAACTGGAGCTCAAAACCGGCATTTGAATCATATGCGCAAGCCCCTCTCTCTCATTTGCTCTCCCTCTCTCAAGATCCCCCTTTCTCCACCTGCACTCCACTCTCTCCTCTCCTCTTCTCTTACACTTCTCCTCTCTCTTTTTCACACGCAGCTCTCGTGTTTATTGATTGTCCCCCACCGAAAAAACCTTCAAGTAACAACAACAACAGCAGCGGATAGGTAGATTTCTGTATGTATGTATATTGTATTTTCAGGGTGAGGGGAGGGGGCCACCTACACCACCCCTCGCCTACCGCCCACCTCGTTTTTTATTACGCGCACGTAGTGTTTTTTTCTCTTCTCTCAATTTTTTTTACATACACTTGCACAATTGAAGAGAGTGGCGGAGAGAGAACAGGTGTGAGGGGGTGGCGGGGGGTGGGGCGAAGCTGGAGTTAATTGGCGAGCACGCTTTTCGGTTTTACGGGCTTTTCTCTTCGCTGCAATTACTTTTCAATTTTCAAACGCACATAATCCACCGATCCAACGCACAATGGCACACGTTCTATATCTTTTTCGCCGGCGATTAAACCGCTGTTACTTGCTAGATTTATTCTTTTTTTTTTTAATTTTTGATGGCAAACGTAAACAAGAGCGAACGGTTAAATATCGAATGCTGGAGCCTCTATATTCCGTGTTCCGTGTCAGGCAAAAAATTACAAAAAGTTGTGGATTGCGGGTTGCTTAAATAGACTCGATGCTCCCCCAAAAGCTCGCTCCCAGCAAAAGTTCACTCTTTTGGCGACTCTCTCCCGTTTGGGGAAAAAATACTCGGCAAAAATACCAAACACAGTCAATTGTGACGTCAGCGTAGGCGTTTTTTTTGAGGCTGGTAATGCTAATTTTTGAATATTTGAATGAAAACTATTTTACAAAGGATTGAAAAGCTGATTATTATTATTATTAATATTTATGTTTTTCCATACTCTCTAATTTGTTTTATATATTACATTTTAAAGTTTTGGAATCCTTATCTTCAATTTGGCGCACTTGATATAAATGTATTTGTATTTTCCGTTCATGTGTTCAAGAAAACTTTTGCAAAATCATATTAGAAATTCTTGAGACGTTTAATTCAGTTCTATACATAAATCCCAATATTTGTAGACCATTTACAAAGAAATTTACTTTCGTTTACCAGATTTTAAAAATCGCCTTCAATTCAAATTCCACAACTGATAGTATCGTGTCACGCCACGCTGACTGTGCCATCCCCAGCTCACAAATCGTCCATCCCTAAAACAAGTTCCCATAATTTGACAGTCAAATTTTGTTAATTTCACCTGGAAAAGCAGAAAAAATTGAAAATAATAACAAAAATGTCGCAGCGTTAAGGTGAAAACCTGCCCCGCCCGCCCAACAGGGGAAGCAAGCAGCGGACAGCGCCGAAAAGTGTTTGACAACAGTTCGCAGACCCAGTGAATCACTACCAGATAAAGAAATTGGATTGGTCGGAGGAGCGCAGATCGCAGAGATCCCCGCCCGCCGGAGGAGCAGTCACCATAGCTGCCCCATCGATCGCCCCCAATCCGCTCCAGCTTCAGGTGGAGGTGACCCCCACGCCCAGAGACACGCGCGCCCTTGCCGAAGTGGTGGCCCACATCAATAACATGGGAAACGACGACCATCGACGGCGGAAGACACCGTGCGGATTTTGCATGGCGGTCTTCAAGTGGATCCCGGTGCTCTTTATCAGCGCGGTGATAGCCTGGTCGTACTACGCCTACGTGGTGGAGCTGTGCTTTCGTGAGTAATCTTTGTCTTTCTCCGGATATTGAATCTCTAGCCATTCTCTTCACCTATAGGCACATCGCAGAACAGCATCGGCATGATCTTCATGCTGCTGTTCTACCACCTTTTCCTCACTCTGTTCATGTGGTCCTACTGGCGCACCATCATGACCTCCGTGGGCCGAATGCCTGATCAGGTGAGTGATTCACACGCCTTATCGGCTGTCACTATCAAAAGATTGGGCAAACCTCACCAACACCTTTGCTTACCTCTTTTCGCAGTGGCGGATACCGGACGAGGAAGTGACGCGACTTTTCCGGGCTGACAGCCCAGACACCCAGAAACGCATTCTCAACAACTTTGCCCGTGATTTGCCAGTTACAAATCGGTGAGGACCTATTGTGTTATCAAGCAAAGTTCCGCTAGAAATATTTTATTACAAGCTTAACATGTGAAATTGAAATTTATTGTTCGCCTGATTCCTTTTTATTAGTATTTTTTTATTTATAACTATAAAACTGGCAGCCAAAGTTGTAATAAATTGTATGCTTATCTCTTGCTATTGTTAGCAAAGTAAAACAGCATTAAGCGGTTTGTAAATTGTTTAATTCCATTCGATTTGTAATACATTTAAGATAGTCTTATTACAGTGCCAGCACAAATATGTTTAAGTCACAGTCATAACTATAAGTAATCTGTGAAATATTTGTTTTTCAGCACAATGAACGGCTCTGTGCGGTTCTGCGAGAAGTGCAAGATCATCAAACCGGACCGGGCCCACCACTGCAGCGTGTGCAGCTGCTGCGTGCTGAAGATGGACCACCACTGCCCCTGGGTGAACAACTGTGTCAACTTCTACAACTACAAGTACTTCGTCCTCTTTCTGGGCTATGCGCTCGTCTACTGCCTGTATGTGGCCTTCACCACGCTGCACGACTTTGTCGAGTTCTGGAAGGTAGGTGCCGTAAGTTTCCCATTTTTCTACTTTTATTGCCACCCTATATACCTGCTGCATGCGATGACCTGTTAGTTAATGAACGTATTCTCTCGTTTCGCTGTAATGTTGTCTAAACTGCTTGTACTTACTGATCCAAGTACAATAATAATGGTTACTCGGCACAGGGACAGCTGAACGCCAACGGAATGGGACGTTTCCACATCTTGTTCCTGTTCTTCATAGCCATAATGTTTGCCATTAGTTTGGTGAGTTTGTTCGGCTACCACATCTATTTGGTGCTGGTGAATCGCACGACTCTGGGTGAGTAATTGAAGCCTGATATTCAAATTTTAGTTTAGCTAAAGACTGTTTTGTTTGACTTCCATTTAGAGTCGTTTAGGGCTCCCATCTTCCGCGTTGGCGGCCCGGATAAAAATGGCTATAACCTGGGACGATATGCCAACTTCTGCGAGGTGTTCGGCGACGACTGGCAGTACTGGTTCCTGCCCGTCTTTTCCAGGTATGTCTGTCCACTTTTTAAACACCATCTTGATCTTTGGCATTCTCACATTCCCATTTTGTACTAATCCGTGCTGCACTAGAAGCTCGCTCACTCTTTAGTTGTTGTTATTGTACGCTTTTGTTTCAATTGACTAATTAAGTTTATGATTTTGGTTTATCTGTTGATTTTGGCAAATTAAAGGCATGCTTCAAAGCCAATGCTTAGTAGTTAAATACCTTTTCCAATTTTTGATGTGTGTTCTATGTGCCGACTTGAAGAGAAAAAGCAAATACTGCTGAGAATCACTAATTTTACCACTTATAATTTGTGTAAGCCAAATAACTACTCTGTATGTCCAAAAACTGAGAACGGAAAGCAACGAAACAATGCTGTCGATCTCCTTTTGTAATTTAGTTGTAAGCATAATCAAGATTTCCACTTCATTTCACTTACGTTCGTTGTTTCTGTTTGTAAATAAAAAGCGAAGCCCGTGGCCATCGAGCTTTAGAAATAGATACTTAGACCTAACTTAAACCAGCTTAGTTTCGAGTTGTTGGCGGGGTTAAGTGACTAATTTAGATCCCAAATTTGTGGAGTTCTGACGAAGCCACTCAGCTTACTAAAAACATAAAAACACTTGCCACACACGATCAGTTAATCCAATTGCAACATTCGTCTCCACACATACGTGCAAAATTATATAACAAACTGCAAACAACAACAACAACAGCTACAACTACAACAAGCTAAACTGTAAAAACAAAAACAAAAAATCAACTCGAAAATTTAACAAACAAACGATAATTTCTGTTTAAAACTCTCTGTTTAACGTAATACCCCCACCTTCTGCTTATTCACAATCACGGAACTAGTCGCGGTGATGGCTACAGCTATCCGACCTCCAGCGACCAGAGTCGAGTGAGCACCACCTCGCCCGTCCAGCGGTACGATGCCATGGGGGACACGGCCACCAGCAGGTTAGATGGCAATCCAACAGATAAGTTGATTGGCGCTAGTCCCCTCGACACCACTAACCATCACCACAACCAATCGCCTCATCAAGTAAGAAGCACCAGCGTCCAGTCAAACCAGCAGTTGCAGGTTCCCCCGTCTCCATACCTGGACGAGCTGGACGAGCGGCTGGAGCAGGTGGATCCGGTGGATCAGGTGGCAAACGGCCAGTCATTAGGCTGCAGCACAGCAGTAGTCAAGTCTAGTCAGCAGGCGGAGAGCGGAGGAGGAGGAGGAGGAGGAGCCAATGGGGCAGCCGTATACATCGACATGGTCGGAGATCATCCACTGGCAAGAGCCCATCCTGCCAATGATCAACCCCGCCCGCCGAATGGCGATCTGCCAGTTTGAATTGCACCACTTACTTTGTTTCTGTAGAATGTAATATGTGTTTTGTACTATATAGCCGAGTAAACTGCCAGATTTGTCAGCGTTGCAGTTTGTAGTAAGCCAGTAAGTTGCCTAGTTGCCTAGTTCATCAATTGTTCGGCATAGACTAGACACTAAAATGTTTGAATGGCTGGGACCACAATACATCGTCGGGTAATTTAACTCAATAATCATCACTTGGCTTCAATCGACTAAGTTAACGTTAAGCAATATGTAATTGGTTTTCCACAAGCATTTATCGCTGTTTCAATCTATCGAATTTTGTAATGCAAATGAGCAGAAACGAATGTATGGGAGATACTGGGAGCTTAGATATTTATCCCGGTTAGAGATTTGTACCTTGTTAACATATTCATGGAACCCATTATCCTTGTAGATATCAACCGATCTTCAAGACTTAAGCCTAGTGATAAGCTATGAACTTTTAGTACACACTATTATCACACACGAAATTCAGGCATTTCTCTTTGCTTTTAATCTATGTAGTTAGTTAGTTAATGTTTGCAATTTGATTTTTATACTTTTTTATTCTTTTGTACACCTATTATACCTAAATATATAATATATTGAGTGAACTTGTCAACGGGTGACGAACATAAGATGGATTCAAAAATATATTTATAACAGCAACAAAGGTTTGTTTTTAATTTGCCAAACAAAATAAATCCAACAGCTTTGCTTCCGTTGCACTGCACATTGTCATCAATCAATCAATCAATCAACCAACCAACCAATCAAATACAAAATAGCGCACTCAACTAATCATTTTTCCCCTATGATCCATGATCTAAACCGCCTAAGTTATACCTGTCTTGATCAAATTTAATGCACCACATCATTTAGCTTTGGAGACGGCAAAACATTCCCGATCCGACATATGGAGGAAGACACCGAATCCCTGCTGGGATATCACAGCGATACGCGCATCGAGCTGGAGGAGGACTTTCTGCCGGAGCCGCGGTTCCAGGACTCGATTCCATAGCTAATTATGACTAGTGACAATGTGGCGACATACTACATTTAGAGATTTAGTTGTGAGAACTTTTTTGGACGGCGTTTAAGACTCTCTTTTCGACTTTCATTTTCAGTTTGTAAATAACAGACAGACGGACAGTCCATCCTATAGGGACAACTAGGTCATTATGTTTAAGCTATCAAAGAGTGGATGGACAATTTACAAATTACATGTATGTATGCAAGCAAATTAGCCGATCGAAATCCAAAATCTTGCTTTGACATTCGCGTTGGACATTTTAAAGCGTATTAATTTAGTGTGTAAGTAGACAGTTATTAGCCCGTTTCGAACAAAAGTTTATGTCTATATCGGAGTACAGCTAGTTATGCAGACAACAAAGTACAGAACATAGGATAAATATAGTTAAACGCATAGTGGGAATACAATAAAATCAAAAACGAAACCTTAAGCAACACACATATGGATCTGTATATTTACAAAAATAAAATTCCAACTATTCCATTCAATCGAACCGACTCAAGTCGTTATTTGTGCTCGAGCACAATCGTGTTGCAGGAACTGTGCTGGACGAAACCACTTCAAAGTCATCATCTGCGGGGGCTGTTTGCTGCTCCGAGCTCTCTGAAGGATCGGCGAATGGGTTGGCCGTTTGTCTAGCCACTTTAGGCAATGGCTTTGGAGGAGCAGGCTCCTCAGCGACTGGAGCTTCAGTAGTGTCCTCCAGCAGCTTCCTTTTCTTCTGCTTTTTGCTAACTAAAACATCTCGACGCACAGATATGCCAGTATCCTCACTTTTGGGCAGCAGATCACTTAGATCGGTCTCCACATCCTGCACTTCCGGTTGAAGTTTCTCCTGCAGAGCGGCCAGAGCAATGAGCACGGCCTCCTCCGTGCGAATGGTTCGGGATCCTTGGCGGGGCAAAACATTCACATAGTGATCGAACAGCAGCTCCGGATCATCCACGGTGAGCTTCTCGTCGTTGGACAGGGCAGATTCCAGGCCTTGCAGTCCGCCAAAGACGATGAGCATGTGCTTGAAGCCATAGGATCGGTTGGGTACCTCATGCACGTTGGTGCCGCGATCGGAGGTGCCCAGCGTCACATCGTAGCCTCCTTCGTAGGGGGATTTGGTGAAAATCTCCGACAATGAGTGGGCGATGCGCACTTGGTAGCCCCAGTAGACACCCGTTTCCCGACGTGGCTCATCCGGGCTGACCAGAGTTCCACGCTGCTTTCTGCTCGTCTCTAAAAGACAAAAAGGGGTTTTAGGGTTTTCATATAAAAGGCGGACATGACTTAGGGCCTACCACTTTGAGGTTCCATTTTCACGGTCACCCTGACGCCCGGCTCGATGGCCTTGTCCACCAAAACGTCGTTGAGCAGCCCCACGTTCGCGTAGCTCTGGCCCTCCTTGGCCTTCTTGTCGCAGATGACGCCCTCGCGGTAACGAAACTTGCTCTGCTGGCGGAGATGGTGGGGCGTGTCCAGCGGATTCAGCAGCCCCGAGTACTTGAGGTCCTTGTGCAGGGGGAAGAAGTACTTGCGCAGGTACTGCGGACACTCCAGATACTGCAGGATGCGGGCCAATTGCAGGGAGCTGCTGCGCACGGTGCCGGTGGCACTGCCCTCCGCCTCCGGCTCGTAGCTGCGCTTCGTTTCGCGGGCTGTGGCTATGCCCACGTCGTCGAAGACGATCACCTCGTTCACCCGGAAGATGCAGGCGGCACGGGCTATCTGACCGGCCACGTAGGCCCGCAACTCGGCGGATTGGGCATTCTCGAGGATGGAACCGGGCACCGCTATGCTCAGGGTGGATGGATTGGCCCGAGTCTTCGCCTGTGCCCCACTGGCGGCCTCCTCCGCCCGGGTCTCCGCCTCCTTCGCCTGCTGCAGTTCCCTGAGCAGCTTGTCCTGCTTGCGCTGACGCTTCAGCGTCTTCCGCTCCTCGTTCACCTTCTTCCACGACTTGTGCGCCTCCGTGGCCTTCGGCTTCCCATTGCTGCTGTCTGTGGGGGCGGCGGGCATGCTTTCAATTAACAATCAACTTGAATCCGATCAGAGCAAACCACGCACGTGCAATAACAATCTTTTAGTGTTACCAGATCGACATTGTTTTTGTTGATGTTGGTATTATTCGTTAAACACACTCAGGCTTTTTTAAGAAGTATACCGTAATGAAATATAGTTTTTTTTGTAATAGCCTATTTCCACAGAGATCCATTCTCCTTCCACCATCCGGTGGTTCAGCCCTGTTCCAACGCAGTCCATCCCTGAAAAACCGTTGATATTTTTGAAAAAAGTGAGACTCCGGTTTCCACAGAGCACATCCACCATCCGATTTCAGCTGATCTGAACAGCTATGGCTCATGAAAACATAAAGATGGTTGACCTGCTGATTTTGTTTACTTTATTTATACACTTTGTTTGTTTTCTTTATTTATACTCTACTAAAGTTGTATATGTATACATACATACATATGTAATAAACGTGGCTTGCAAATTTAAATCGACAAAATCCTCCACATATCAAACCTTAATTTTCTGGTGCAGTTGGACTTTGTGATTTGTTTACTGAATAAGCTTCTAAAAAGACGCGACCTCCGATAATTTTCAAATTTGTAATATCCATGTTTTTTGGGTCCTGATTATTGTTTTTTTGTCTTTTGTGATCACTTGCAATACTAGACCCTTGTACAGAACAAAAGAATCGTCCCGATGATGCCAACTCCAAGGTCAAAGTATTTGAAGAAGTATATTCGACATTAGTACCCGTTCCGCAGTAAACATGTGGGTGTCCATTATCCCATATCGTAAGATTGTTATTGCTGCATTGGGGACCCTTGAAAAAAAATCCACAATTTAGATTACTAATTGATTTTTATGTTTAATATTAATTTATCTTACCCCATTTGGAATATTTATTGAACAAATCAGATCAATCTCAACACTTTGTGAGATCAGTGTCACCCTGCATTTTTTTCCACTTGGGTTATGGTAGAAGTTCGGATATCCAGGACTATATATAGAAGTAGAATAACCATCCAGTATGCGTTGAATTGTGTTGCACTAATTAAAAAGTGTTAAATAAAAACATTACAAATTATAAATATATACATGTTTTTAACCTTGCAATGAGTATAATAATTTTAGTTCAGGAGACATTTCCGTCAAAAAAAAGGTTTAATTTTATTTTGAAATGATCAAATAATTAAGTGAAAATTCAACATAGATTTTGTTAAACATATAGGGATAAAAATCGGGATATTTTTAAAGAATTTGTAATCGGAATAGCTGCAAGAGTATATAAACTTCACAAAAGGCCGTTACTAGTTATTTTCCATTTGTTCTATTTTTACATTCTATTGTAGAACAAGAAACTTAAATTTGGTTTATTGCGAAGAGACTGAATTTTTCAGTTCCTTTTTTTTGTCAGTGTACATACTTGTGCGTTGGATCCTGGCAGTTGAAACCAACCGAAGATTGCGTGGAGAAGAAACAGTACTTTTAAATTCATTGCAATCCCAATAGACTGACTTACCAAGCCAAGCAGCACGCTTTATATACCAAACGCAAACGGCAATATATCCAAAAAAAGAACGAATGGAGTTTTGTTTTTATTGAAAGCCAAGATAACTTATCGGCTTATAAAATTTATTGTTCATTGTTCACTTTTCGTCACCGTCTCTTCTCACCCCTCAGATCGACGAAAAAATACCAGAAAATTTTAAAGCGTTGCCACCCGTCTTGGATGAACTCTGGGTGACCGTTCGTTATTTGCCTCTCGCGCTCTCAGGCGGCGAACGGTTTTCGTCGATCTGAGTACTAGGCTTTAAGCTTAACTAATTTTTGAACATTGCTTGCATAATTGGACATTTTCTTATAAGTGGGGTTCATACTATTTATTTAGTAAATAACCTATCAATATTCATATTAACGAATTTCATAGCTTGAAAAAATGTAAAGAGTTAATCATATTTTGTTTTCAATGTATTTAATACATTGTTAATTCGGTTAACATTTGGTATTATTTTAGTATTACCAAAATAGCATGAAACTGGCATTAGTGCATTTTTCGACATTGCCAGCTGGTTGTCATTTATTTTTAGAGAAACTGAGTTAAGTTCGGGAGATCCCCGTGAATGCATGTCCTTAGCTGATTCTTTTTTTTGTCATAATGAGTCGCGAAGTGCTATCTCCTCCTGTCCAAACGATGAGCCAAAACCGTCGCTATAGGGTTAACGTGGTGCACGAAGATTTCGGAGGAGACAAGTGGAACGGCCAAAATAAACGAGCCAAAGGAGCAAACGCGGCCTATCAAGAGCCAGGTAAGTGGCTATTTGGTACTGGGTTGACCCTGGGTTATCTATTATATGTACATATTCTTCCCTCAGATCTTTATGGCGACGACGACGACGAGGATGACCCGGCTGCCGGCAACATTGAGGAGACACCAAATGGCGATTTCAAGCTTGCTCTTCACGTTCCCAAGTGGGTAACCGATTACTCCTAAAAACTTAGGAATATCCCTGAAACACATATCCTTTCCAGATCATTCTATGGCGGCTTAATTGGCATGAAAGGCTCCACTAAGCGTCGCATCGAGGAGGAGACCAGGTGCGAGATCTTTGTTCCACGTCAGAACGAGAAATCCAATGCCGTGATAGTCAGGGCCAAACAACGCAGCCAGGTGTGTGCTGCACTGCGTCAAATCCGCCACCTACTTGCCTCCCTGCGCAAGAAGATGAAGCCCACCCACTTTTTGGCCGTAGCTCTGAACACCGGCGAAATCCAGGAGCATTTTGTGGAGCTTAAGGTAGAGGGAGATGGATGGGGAGTACTGGAGAATACTGACACTAATACACTCTCTTTTCAGAAAAGCATTCTGGAGGCTCAGTTGCCGGGAATCGACGAGGAGCTGTTCATCTCGGAGCGCTGCATCCACCTCACCCTGGGTGTCTATGTGCTCCTAGACGACGACGAGCGCCAAAGGGCCCTCAGTGAGTTGGAGTCCTGTCGTCAGTTTCTGGCTGACCTCAAAACTCCATTCGACTTGAAGGTCAAGGGCTTGGAGATTATGAACGACGATCCCAGCTCGACTCGCGTTCTATATGGTCGTATCGAGTCTCCGGACTTGCAGAAGTTCGCGGACAAGTGCCTGGCCCACTTCCAAACCACCGGTCTGTGCGCCACGGACAACAACGATCGTGAATCCATTAAGCTGCACATGACGCTGATGAACAACCGCTACCGCAAGGAGGCAATGAAGTCCGGGAACAGCTTTGATGCCCGCGAGATCCTGAAGCGCTTTGGGGACTTTGACTTTGGATCAGCGCAGTGCCAGGCCGTCCACCTGTGCGTCTTGAAATCGCGTGGGGAGGAGGAATTTTACAAGATCTCGGGCAGTTTGGAGTTTTAAATCCATTTTTTTGTACAACTCTCCAATTTTTTTCATTTCTATACAAACGGATTGTACAAGATCATTTGCTAAATGTCCAAATATGATTTCGATCTTACAAGATCATTTACTAAATGTCCAACTATGTAACATATTCCAATAAACGAAATCAATTTTCTTTTGAAGACCAAATGGCACCTTTGTAATCAAATGCAAAGTGCTGCACTTCAAATGGTCTACAAGATGTTTGACAATCTGGTGTTCAAAGAAACGACTCAATAAATATAACTACAACATATAACATATATATTGTTACTTTTAATTTTAAGTGTAAAATAGCATTCAAGCATTATAACCATGTGTATAAAGAAACCCTAAATCACCAAACAAAACAATAGGAATGACACCATTCTTTCGAAATAAATGTTTTCACAAAATAATACACATATACGATTTATTTGTGGAATATCAATGCTCAAGTTGGTTTTGTATAAATGTTGCATATTGGACTGCATAACACCTTAGTGCCTTGTGCCTGTCAACAGGTTCTACTGGGTTTCCCACGCCAAACTCTCCGTCTCCACAACCGAAACAAATGTGCGTCAAGTTTTCGCTTACGGTTAAGTGGTAAGTGGTAAATACAAAAATATATCGTTCATATGTGAGGATTTGTGGCGAAATTGTATCGTTTATTGGAACTAACAAAATAATGGGTAAAACAAAAAAGGATATATATAAAGTGCATGCTTACGAGCTACAGAGTAGGAAGCCACAAGTGGAGGACACGAACATGTACAAAAAGATGTGTACCAGCTAAAAGGCCGGGTTGGGAAGAATATACATACATATAAAGTGGAAGCAAACTGGACAATCCAGACACACTCGCGTGGTTGTACAAAAATTGGTTTAAATTGAATATCAAAAACAACTTCTCGGCTTACTAACTAACTTTAACTACGCACGATTTGCTTGGCTTCTTGCTTTTTTGTTGCTTAGTACTTGTCAATAGCTTCAGTCTAAAGTTAAAATTTGGTTGACTCTTGTATTTCGCGGTTTTTTGAAGAGGATATCATTGGTTCTACTACTTTTCACGCTACGCTGGCGATTCGTTATCGTTCCTTTTTGGGCGGGATTTGAACTACAATAGTACTGATGTTGGAAAATTGTTTTAGTTTTTTGCACATAGACTATATGGTAAATATTTCAACATATGCAGGTTTACATACATATACTTATATGGATTAGTTTTTGATTAAAAGTCAAACAGTGCGTTTCAAAGCGGCTGGAGTGTTCGTTCATCCAACTCGTTAGAAGGTATTTCAGGTCCAGTCATCTTTTTAAAGATACTATTTGAAACACACTGTTCGCCTCGGACCGTGGGATCTTAACAAACAAACATCTACAAACGTACATAGATTTCATTTAAACAACAATTAGAGTTTGGTGCACATTTAGTTAACTTGAACAAAGGTTTTGGCTGCCGATGAATATACTGAATATAAAAGTGAATCTAATTTATTAGTTGGCTAATCCGCCGCATTGGACACTTACTTCAGTGTAAACAATCTGTGTACTTCAGGACTATCAACTAAAACACTCCGTTCGAAGCGAAACCAAAGTGTAAGCATGTATGTAGTGTGCCAGTATCGTGTGCGTGTTGGATAAATCTCTTAGTTTAGTCATCAATCTGTCAATCAATTAATCAATCAGTTGTGCAGCACCCATTTTTGCCCCTGCCCGCCGCCTCCACTTCCTGTCGCGGCACCTTCGTCATCGTTGCTTTGTTCGCTCTCCTCACAATTGCTGGTCGATGATGCCACTACTTTGCATGACCGTTGCTAAGCACGGCCGGCACCGCCTGCTGCACCACCGCGTTGATCACCTCGATCTCCTTCTTCAGGAAGGCGGCGCCGTTCTCCTCGAGCGACGAATGGAGGTCGGCTGGAGCATTGCCAGGATCTGTGCCATTGTCATGGACAGAGGATATGTTGCGTTTGCGGAGACCGCCACCGGCCGAGGATTCCAAGGGAGCGCTGCCGGGCAGCTTCAGCTTGGGAAACTCGATGTCCCGCATCAGATCGTTCTTAAACTCCACAATGCCGCTGACGGTCTCGGTTACAGTCTTATCAATAAACTCCTCAATGTTCTTCGTCTCCGCCTCGATCTTCTCCTTCAGCTTGCTGGACAGCTGGTCCATCTCGCACTGGTCATGGGGCACGCTAACGGCGTCCCTGGCGCACCTGGGCATCGGCATCTTGTCCGGCTGTTGCTGCTGCAGCTGTGGGCGTGGTCGGGGGTTTACATTGTTCAGTTGCTCGGTTGGCTGTTGTTCGGTTGTGTTGTTGTGTAGTGCAGCCGCAGACGGCTGCCGGTGTGTTGGCGTGTTGACTTTACATTGAGCGTGCTTATCCTGCGCCCCATCCTCGTTGAGATCATTGCTGGCGGTCAAGGCTGCTGCTGCTGCAGTGGCCGGCAGTCCACTGGTCAAGGCCACCGATCCATCCTTGCCGGCCGTCAGCCGCACGGATCCGTTGCCGTTCGAGGAGCGAGCACTGCGATCGCCGCGTATAAACTTGGGTAAAATAAATATGGTCACTAGTGAAATGATGTGAAGGCACAAATAAAATCTCAGGTACAATTTGATGCTGCCCTGTAAAGCGAAAACATGAAGTTGGTTATTAAATGATCTTTGAGAAAATATAAGGTGAGTCGATTTTTGTTTTCGAAAATAAAATCATAAGAAACATCCTGCAAGTAATTAATGGAAAAGTGTTAGCTATTATTTCTAGATATCTAGGGGTCTTAAAACAGGTCGACTACCTTGACAAAATGTACCAAAAAGCAATTAAATTTCCTTGTCGAATGGGCAATTTGTAAAAAAAAAAAACGAATGAATCTGGAGTAAGTTATTGTCTTTGGACAAATAATCAAATTTTGATATGCAAATTTCAACATGCTTAAAAGTAAAATAAATGTTTTTTACAAGATTAAAATTCGAATATTGTTAGCTTTAAATTTAAATAGTAAATCTTTTCATAAGTTTCTTATTCATTGGAGAAAATCGACCTACTCGACGAGCAGACTTACCATAAATTCAAGCAGAACGAATGGGAATGTCGCGTAGCCCAGTACGACGCGAGTGATCAGGCAGGTGAGGATGTCGTAGAACATTCGCGTGACCTGCGTGCTCTGGAAGCGATGGCGGAAGAGTCGCCGGCCGGTGCGCGCTGCCGTCACAACGACGGCCCCGGTGGCGAAGGTAAGGTAGTAGCCCGGATAGAAGCCGTGCCAGACGGCGCTGAGGGCGAAGGTGAGGAGCGTTCCGTACTGCTTGGGCACCCGCTCGTAGACAAGCGTTCGCAGCCAGCGGTTGGTGCCGCAGTTCCAGTTGTTGATCGCATCGCGCATGTTCGTTGAAAACTATTAAGATAACCACATGGTTGTAACAGATCTTCGACTATATTTCTATACATTAAATACACACCTCAAACGACAGCACATTTATGTTGGATATCAGGTCCCACTTGGGATTGCCATCCTTGTCGTAGCCGGTGAAGCCAAGGCCTGAGTTGTTGCAAATGGCATCCGCCAGGAGCCAGGCGTGATAATACTTAAAGCGTATGCAGGTGGTCGCCATCATGGCGTACCAGTACTTGTAGACCATGCTGGTGTTGTTCTGGAAGTCGTCCTCCTTCATGTCTTTCACTGGATATATTTTCACAAACTTCATGAATATGAAGGCGCACACCAGACTGCCGATCACTTTGCGTATCACCGCTTTAGTAGGTGAAGGCTCCAACACCACTTCTCTCTTGCTGTTCTCCAGATTACCCTGGCAAAAGATCATTTGGAATAAGTTGTTATTGATAGTATAGTAGTATTTTTTGATACTAAGAAATTCTAAATAAAAGCTAAAAGATCGTATTATAATTATTATTAATTATTCTTAACTAGATCTTTTAAGTTTTGATTAGCGATTCAAATCATAAGCTTCTTGACCAAATATTAGTACTTAAGATGGGAATTAAGTGAAGTGTTTGCGTTGATGAAAACACTCAGGTGACATTATTAAACTTACGTTGCCTGGTGGACTGCTCAGTAGATTGTAGCCCTCCACGAACTCAATGTAGTCCTTGTAGAAGACCAGTGGACCGGCCAGAATGCTCTGGAAGTGCCACACGTATGAGAAGTACTCCAGGGCCGAGGGCATTTTTCGAATGGCATGGTACTGCTGGGCCTTGGTCAGTTCCTGTGAGACCAAAAATAATATGAGCTTCCTGTTTCAGATCAACTTTACTGCTCCGCACTTACCTCATCCCGCCGCACAAAGCCATCGTGAATGCTGAAGGCCAGACTGGTCACCTTCTGGGTGATGATCATTAGGGGCCCGGTTATGTCCAGGGCATAGGATCCATAGTCGTAGAGTTGGCGCATCAGGTGCACGCACAGGAGATAGCTCATGGCCACCAGCAGAACGGCTCTACAGTAGAAAACAATTAGTTCAAGGCTTTGGCCCCACGGCTTAGTAATCACCTTTGGACGATGCGCGGATCCTGGGTACGGATGACGATGTAACATATTGCCGGCAATCCGGCAATGTGAATGGCCTGTTGGCCAAAGCAAAAGTAGCCAAAGGCCAGGCCAATCGAGAGGGCGAACGTGTGCCGCAGCTTGCTGGACACCTTCGATGGATGCAGCATGGACCGGAAGAGCGAGGCCAGGAAGAGAGCCGATATTTGGCAGATTAGGAAGTTTACCTGCAAGAAAAGAAAAAAGATTTTGATAGGAATTAGACAAATACATTTCATTTCTTAGTATAACAAATTTGTCTATATAATTAAACAAAGGAAATAAGACATTCTTTATTACTTTATAAAATGAATTAAAAGGCATCTGGTCATAAATACCCCTTTGTACTGTATTGCTGGAGGTCACCAGAGATCTTTGGACCCAACCGCTACAGCGAAGCACATGCAGCCGGCACGTGTCTTACTAGATTTGCAATTGTAATGCGAGAGCAACATCCCCCACTCATTGCCGCCCAGATCACCCAACACCCATCACACAGCGCCAGAGAATTGCGGCCACAAGTGCTTGTCAGCCATTGCACTTGATCATGGCGATCGCCGATCACGATCACGCGTTGTGATCAATGTTCGTTCTCCTCCACTTTTGCCGATCCCCAGTGGCCTTGGCTTCTATTCCGATGCAAATGTTTAGGAACCCCCAAACGGATCTCTGCAAAATATGGCCCGCCTTTGCCTGCTAGTGTCATTGAAGATCGAGGGGTTTCGGTGTTAGTTTCCGCTCGTTTGCTTTTCGCACGAGCCCCGTGCCAATGAATAAGCAATGAGGGGGCCCCAAATTAGACCGGGTGAATTCCCCACTTTGAGTGCCGTTTAATTGATATCAATTGCCCGACGTTTTCCACTTAATTCCCATTCCCATTCCCTGAAACGCATTTTAAACTGTCCTCGATAAGGTGCGATAAGAATAGGTCTTGGGTGTGAACGAAATCAGACCGCACCTATTCTGCAGTTGTTCGTGGACAGCAAAAACATCGAAAGCGGATGCGACTTCTGTGGGTTCGAGTCACTCTTATCACTTATCATGGCGAAGCAATTACGAATTGTTTGCCGCGCATTCACACACACAAAGTTGGATTATATTTAAACAGCAGTAATCGTGCACAACTACAGGCTGCAATCGGCAGAAATGAAATCAAATACTTAATCGGCTATATGTAATCACATTCATTAATTAACAATTTGATTGCCACAAGTGTGTAAAGTCAATGACCTAATTCTAGAATTAGCACAGTTTCTATTATGCGCAATTCGCCTGTATTATATTGTTCTTTTCGTTTATGTACTTATACTATGAGACTATAGTGTGAGACGTACGATCACCTCTGTGAGCAGAATGAGCTATAACTGGTTGGGAATTTTACAAAATCGGTAAATCGTATAACATTTAAGCAATAACAATTTATTTTCTGTTTTGGATTTCAATTGCTCTGTAAGACTACCCGAAGGATCCAACAGAGATCCTTTGATTCTGCAGAAAAGATATTCTTGGTTGTGATTTTTATGCTGTTTATTGAGTAGGTGGTTACTGTTGGTTACGGATACAAGTTGCAATACAAGCTCTGACCTCATTCCAGTTGAGTCAAGTTGGCTAAGTGCATCAGTTGCGCTGGGCAGGGCAGTTCAGCACCTCGCTGCGAGGAAGGCACTCTGCAGCCTCCGAATCGTACCAGAGTCCGGGACGACACTTGCGGAGCAGGCGGCGACCGGCGCGGCACTCATAGTACCTCCTGCAATGGTTCGGATCCGGGACAATACTGCCCTCCGCGCGGCCAACGCACATGGCACTGGTTCCGATCGGGATGCTAGCTTTTGTGGTGCTGCTGGCATCGGCAAGGAGATCCCTAACACCTTCATCACGCTGTTTGTCTACAGAACCGCAGGCCGGTGTGGTTGTCTCCTCGCAAGGTGGAGCAGAAGTTGTAGTGGGATTGCAGGGAGGTGGGGGTGGAAGTGGGGTGGTTGTGCTCTCACAGGGAGCAGCCGTTGTGGTTGGAGTCTGGATTTCACAAGGTGCTGTCGTGGATTCGGAAGTCGGTTTGGTAGTCGTTGGTTTGGGAGTCGTTGGTTTGGTAGTCGTTGGTTTGGGAGTCGTTGGTTTAGGTGTAGTTGATTCGGGACTCGTGGGCTCACAGGGTGGCTGTTGGGAAGGAGTTGTTGGTTCGGGAGTCGTTGTTTCGGGAGTGGTTGGCTCACAGGGTGGCTGTTGAGAAGGAGTCGATGGTTCTGGAGTCGTTGGTTCGGGAGTCGTTGGTTCGGGAGTCGTTGGTTCGGGAGTCGTTGGCTCGGGAGTCGTTGGTTCGGGAGTCGTTGGTTCGGGAGTCGTTGGTTCGGGAGTCGTTGGTTCGGGAGTCGTTGGTTCGGGAGTCGTTGGTTCGGGAGTCGTTGGTTCGGGAGTCGTTGGCTCGGGAGTCGTTGGTTCGGGAGTCGTTGGTTCGGGAGTCGTTGGTTCGGGAGTCGTTGGTTCGGGAGTCGTTGGTTCGGGAGTCGTTGGTTCGGGAGTCGTTGGTTCGGGAGTCGTTGGTTCGGGAGTCGTTGGTTCGGGAGTCGTTGGTTCGGGAGTTGTTGGCTCACAGGGTGGCTGTTGGGAAGAACTCGTTGGTTCAGGAGTTGTTGGCTCACAGGGTGGCTGTTGGGAAGCAGTCGTTGGCTCGGGAGTCGTTATTTCACAGGCTGATGTTGTCGTTGGAGCCTCAGTGGTCGTTGTCGTGGTTGTCGTTGGGACACTGGTTGTTGTTGTTGTTGTTGGGACACTCGTTGTTGTTGTTGTCGTTGGGACACTCGTTGTTGTTGTTGTCGTTGGAGCCTCAGTTGTCGTTGTCGTGGTTGTTGTTGGGGCACACGTTGTCGTTGTTGTCGTGGGAGCCTCAGTGGTCGTTGTCGTGGGAGCCTCAGTGGTCGTTGTCGTTGGAGCCTCAGTGGTCGTTGTCGTGGGAGCCTCAGTGGTCGTTGTCGTTGGAGCCTCAGTGGTCGTTGTCGTTGGAGCCTCAGTTGTCGTTGTCGTGGTTGTTGTTGGGGCACACGTTGTCGTTGTTGTCGTGGGAGCCTCAGTGGTCGTTGTCGTGGGAGCCTCAGTGGTCGTTGTCGTTGGAGCCTCAGTGGTCGTTGTCGTGGGAGCCTCAGTGGTCGTTGTCGTTGGAGCCTCAGTGGTCGTTGTCGTTGAAGCCTCAGTTGTCGTTGTCGTGGGAGCCTCAGTGGTCGTTGTCGTGGTTGTTGTTGGGGCACACGTTGTCGTTGTTGTCGTGGGAGCCTCAGTGGTCGTTGTCGTTGGAGCCTCAGTGGTCGTTGTCGTGGGAGCCTCAGTGGTCGTTGTCGTGGTTGTTGTTGGGGCACACGTTGTCGTTGTTGTCGTGGGAGCCTCAGTGGTCGTTGTCGTTGGAGCCTCAGTGGTCGTTGTCGTGGGAGCCTCAGTGGTCGTTGTCGTGGTATCCTCCTCGCAGCTTGGAGTGGTCGTTTTACAGGGAGGCCTTGTGGTTGTGTTCTGGCACGGCCTTGGAGATTCTGGTTTTGGCCTGTGGATTCTGCGGGCAGATCCGGCGCTGATAGCGACAGATGCCACGAGGGCCAAAAGGAAAAGGCTTGCTAAAAGGGGAAACTTTAGCTTAAAATGCTCTAAAATTCTGCAACGGGACACTTACACAGATTCATCGAATGTTTTGGGCAGCGCAAAAGGATAACTAACTGCTGCTGGCTACTTTACCGCTTTCGCTTCGGTGCTCTGACAACTGACCCACCTGCAGCTTCTTTTTATAGCCATAGCGTAAAAAGAGTGCAATGTTCTAGGCTACCGGGTTACAAGTAAGTGTCCGCTTTTTCCTGATAACTTCTGACCAATTTGCAAAGTGCAGACAAGAAAATATGTTCTATTCCAGTTATTTAATATATATCTACTATTGCAACCATTTGGAACATTGACACAAAAAACACTATTCTTGTATAATTTTTTTTTTTGTATAAACATATAAATAATCTTTTATTTTCAAAAAATTTGTCGATCGGTTTAAGTTTTATTTGATCCAAATATTTCCCATCCTTAATTTTAATTTTAATTTTAAAGCTACTGCAAAACCAATAACTGATAGAATTACGCAGTTGTAACGTAATGTACTTAAATTTCTCTTTCTGCGGCTATCTTTACACTTTTTGAAGCAACTCAGAAGTTTCGTTGTCGAATTTCATAATGGAAAGTCGCACTTCTGCCATTCGCCGATAACGATATTCGTACATATATATCTATAGATACTCGTACATTATTTGCCTTTGTATATCGGGAAGTAGCACCCACAAAGGGGCCACGTCTCCCAAGGTTCTCACGCTATGGGTAAAAAATAAAGGCGACCCTGACGCGATTTCCGATAGCCAGTGATAAGTTGGGCAGAACAATAAAGTCCGTCAATACACAATGCAGGTATACTTCTAACTTAAGATTATTAGATTTGGTTTTCGAAGTGGTTGCAAGGTTAATCACGCTGGTAAAAAGAACAGGCATCGAACCACCAGTTTTCCCATTTGGACGCATGTTGTAATCATCATCCGAATACCTCATGCGCAATAAGTGGGTTCGCATTGCTGCTGGCCAAAACCGGTTCTCTGTTGCCTCAGCACAATCAATATGGCTAAAACACAAGCGCAGAGCGGCCTCAACCAAAAGAAAATCTTGCCCAAGAATTATAGTTTGGGAAAAGCTGGATCTCTAACACAAAAAGGGCAACAAGTGGGTGTTTTGCAACTAGTTGGCATTGAACAAAGAAAATGTACACTGTATACATATATATATTTATGATTAATTTGTTTATATATTGATGATGTTACTATAATAGAAAATATCAAATTATTCTTTAAATTTGGGTATTAATTTTTATTCCAATGCTGGAGCTCAGCACAAGCATGCGGAAGAAGGCAAATATTCTTTCTAGCTTTTGTTTTAGGTTGGACGATGAGAAGAGGTCTTGGTTGCCCAAGCTCAAATTATACTTGTAATTACGTACACCACTAAGGGTTTCTTTGGGGACCTCGGATAAAAAACTTATGTCTCTGCAATGCGCCCAAGGTAAAATAATTAAATCGAGCATAAATTCAGGTACGCAGCTGGCGACCAATCGAATTTCAGGGCAGGCAGTCACAAAGCCACAATGCGAATTCCAATTACAAAGCGGGCTTCCCTTCAAGCATCCTGCAATGCACACTACGTGCACCAAATGAACAAGGCTATGATTGTTGGTACTATTGGTAGCGCAAACAGTTTAAAGTCAAAGATGTGGACCCAGCCCTTCATCTCCCCTTCAGGCGCATTGTTTGCGTTGTTATGAGGAGATAGCTGCCTGCATGTCAAGATAAAATGTTGCCATGGTTCCGGCCAGCAACAAAGCAATATGGTTTGCAGCGCAAGCAATTTGTGGGTCCTCATCTGCCTTTGTTCGCTGGGATTTCTTAGTTACGAGCTGAGCTTAAGTTTCTTAACTTGGCTCTCACTTCATCCAGAAGATGGGACATTAAGATTTAAGATGTTGTCTCATGGAAGCTTCTACATTTTTTAATATCATAAACAAATTACTATAATCATATTTAAAAAGGAAATAGGAATGTACAGTGTTAGATTAAAACTAAAATATTTTGTTTCTTTTACTAGTTCAACTTGTGCACAATGCATCAAGTTATTTGGAAAGACTCAAAACTCAATAGCTTTTTGGCAAAATAACATCTAGTCCTGTTATTCAAAGCAGTTGGGTAAAATACACGACTTTTTGGCTAGTGCAAAAAATAAAAAAAACATTTAAGATGTAGCTTTCTTCCAATAAAAACTATGTTTAGAGAAGGCATAGTTACTCATCAATCAACTGGGCTGTGGACTGACTCAATAAGAAATGCAAACAATCATGTGTATGACTAAACCACGTGCAAATGCAAATGGAAACAAATCATAAATCATTTGATTAACAAGCCGCATTGCCGAATATATTTAAGTAGTATAGCTAAGAAAGAGATCAAAAAGGGAAACAGGAGTGGCAAAAGGAAAACCGAAAAAAGTGGCGTGATCACTATAAATAAAACAATAAAAGAACCGCCAAGAGATATACCCAAGCTATAAGCGAACGCACGATAAAAGCAAAAGTCAAAACAAAGACCAATTGCGAAATGAGTTAAGAATGCAGAGATATGGAAATCGTTTGAGAAACAGCCAAACAAAACAAACGGAAAAAAACGAAAGTAATTAATTCCAGATGATTACTTCACCATAAATCATCTCCGAGTTATTGTGCATCATATATACCCATCACAATGTAAATTGAAGGGTATGGCAACAACCGTTAGAGGCGCCAAACAGCTGTCAAAATCAGAAAACATAGCGAAGAGAGCGCAAAATAGACGACAAAAACAACAGCAACGAGTTCAAACCACTGCGGCACCCCAAAATCAAGGTCACAGATATAATAATATCATCATACAATGCATGTTGGGGTGGCGGAGAAAGCAGGGAGCGCAACAATTGGCATTGCTTTCGCTTTATCTCCATGTATACTAGTCCATTTTTATTGTATTGGCATGCACTGCAATTCAATTGATATTTGATGGCCATACACTGTCTTTATTCGCCTCTTACCCTTTTCTTAATTCCGATATCATCGCACGAACCGGTTAAAAACATCCACGGCAACGCAAATGTTGGGAAATACGTACACAATATTATTAAATGTATGTATGCGCCAGTAAAAATAAAAAAACAAGCACAACGGCGTTGAGTTGTTTATTGATGTTTATTAATAAAATTATCGTACCACATACATAGTACGACAGCGGTGGCGTTATTATTAACGGGTTCTTGCTGAATATAATTCGGTAATAAATAAAAATTTATAAATTAGTTCCTTCATAATGATTTGTACATCGATTTTACCAAAATTGCCTATAAGATCATCTAAAAATACTTTTTGGAATTGGGCCAGTGGTATTATTATATTGACTTCGAGTGTATCGTGAGTGACAGTGTGGGAGGCGAACTCAAGATTACGAGAGCAGAGCAAACTGTTGAGAATGAACCGCAACTGACCGGCCGGGACTGCATCTGGCTATTAACGGCTCCCGCGATCCTATTGAGTACTTTTAACTATTTAAGTACTACATACATATATAGATGCCTTGAACATGGAGCAATTGGCCAATTCACCGCCATTTGCGCAGTTGCGTGCTACGGCCTTCACAGCGAAATAAAATATCAGGCGCAGCCGATTTCCAAAATAATGTCGCCCACCCACAAAACCCCATTACCAAGTACAGTAAACACTGTTTTTAAAGAACTTTCTTATTATTGTCTGTATTCATAGTGATTGTCTTGGATATAAAGCGAAAGCACCTTTCTTAAAAAGGCTATCATAAAACTAACCATAAAACTTGTGAAAGAGAATTACCATTGCTTTGTTTTTGTACTTTTTTTTTCAACCATGACATTTTCATTCCAAACAAATATTGCCTATAAAAACTCTTTGAATATTTTGGTTGACAAAATAGAGCATTTACTGTCTTTCTGTTTTGAATACCGACTGACTCATGCGGTCAACATCAGCTGAGTCAAAACAACAAGAAAACGGCTAACCAACACATAGCCAAGCTGTTGATATTTGTTTGCAAACAAAAGAAGCGCTAAAAATTCAATTATATTCAATGGAGAGCGGGAATAAGAAATATGTGTGTGTGTGTTTAGTTGGAGCCAAGTCAGTCAAATTGGATTTCGCATAGCTCTTGATAAAGACAATCGCCAGATAGCTGAATTAACACTGCTTTTCTTGCTTTCAGTGTGCCAGTGTGTGTGTGTGTGTGTATGTGCCTTACATCGGATGTTGGCATTAGGTCATCGGAATTGAAAAATATGACGATTACGTACGTGTATGTCACTTGATTTGGGCCAGAAAATGCCTCCGTATGATTCACATTTGTATATTTGTATTTGTATATGCCAACTGCAGTTATGCAAATCACATTGCGGCAAACGAATGGGGCATAAATAGGGGGTAGTGAGATGCAAAAGGGGAGGCAATAAGTGTGCCTGTGTGACACTCTCGGTGAAGAGATTAATCACCACCCCCTTCACCTCACCCCACTATTAAATGATGCAAAACATTTTAAATTTAGCGAAATCAACGGTGCGTCAGTCACAACAATAGTAATTTCAAAATTTTACGCTAGACAGCTCGTGGCATGGAAAATTCCACTGTTAATTCTTGCCAACTGATAAGCTCTTCACATTTAAGTTGCTTTAAAACAGAATTATAATATATAAAAACTAAAAATTTGGTATAGTGTAAGGCAAATGCAAAAATTCGATTAGCTGCCAAAAGTGGCAAACGTATCTAACGTTATAAAAGCAGCAGTACAGTGTGTGCCGACTATATAGGATCTGAGACTACATTTAAAGATTATAAACAATAAAATTAAGCATTTCTTTTGGTTAAACTTAACTTGTTTTTTTAATAACACTGCTTTAAACAAAAATATATAACAATATAAGAGTATTGTTTTTTAAATTGAAATCTTAAGTAAACAAAAACAATTTGTAATAGGCTCACTCTAAAGATTGTTGACTGTTAACGGGAGCTTTTTTTGGGCAACCGGCAATGGAATTTATTTACCCAACGGTTGCCAGGTAAATTTAGTATGTTTCCTAGAAAAATATTTCATTTCCTGCCAAGGGAAATCCCCTCTATGTCCTTCAAGAAATGCATTATTCTCAAGAAGAGAGATTTCTACAGCGGCCTTTATCCCGTATGATTAGCACACATACAGGCACAAAAGCCTGCGTATACACACGCACACGTGCACACGCCCGTTTCAAAAAGAGAAGGTGGGGGGGATTAAACAGAACCAGAATCCAGGGAGTTTTGGAGTTTATAGTATTACTTACCAAGTCCACCGAGAGCCCCACCATATCCGCCAGCCAGGTGAAGGACCGGCTGCCGTTGTAGCAGTCATTGTCAACGAATTTCGGCGGTTCTAGCATTTTGCTGTATGTTTTCTTTATCCGTTCTTTTCTGTTGCGTTGTTGTTGCTGTCGGACGGTTGTTCCGATTTCAGCGCTTCATTGGGAAAACTCCGCGATTCACGTACACTTTTCCGGTTTTCCTGGGCACCGCCGAACGATCGAGGACCCCAAGTGGGCGCGCGGGACGGTCACTTATAATTTTGTGCAATAATTTGGAAGTGTTTGGCTGTTCAGATCGGATCTCTCGTGTCCGTGCGTATAAATGAAATATTCGAAACGCAATAGAGATGGGCGCTCTGGGCGTTCTGTGTGGCCAGCGATGGCACTCGCAGCCGATAGTTCGTGATTAACAGAACCTGTTAAGCGCATGCCGTATATTTATCGACGATTAGGAAATATTTTGCGCACAAACTTAAAAATTACAACAAAATTTTGGAATACATGATGTCGAAAGTTGTCGAATTTACATGTTTTATATTTAAGCGTTCGCACAACAGAGTATTTCTCTTATGCACTTAGATATAAAACAATCTATGTTTTGATATGACAGAAATAAATATATATTAAAAATAGCTTGAATTCATAAATTCAAATAAATGTTGATATTTTTAGGTGGTTCGGATATTTACTAACTATGTTAACACAATCACTGTTAACGCCCTGTATTAGCAGAGTTGCACGGGATCTATCGGTCAGCTGTCATCTCTATTTCGCGAACCAACTGCGAACTCTATTTTTCTGAAATTATTATTGAAATAAACCAAATTGCAAAATGTTGGGCCGCAGCAGTGTGATTGCACGCAACTTCTCCCAGTCGATGGTTCGCTTCAGCGGACACGGCGGAGTTCCCGGCGAGGTGGGTCTCGGAAAATCTGCATTACGGACAATGCGTTACATAATGTTCGCGATGAAAAATCAATCATAACACCGGAAAAACTATTTTCATTGCAGAACCTGCCTTTTGGACTGACCAACAAGTACAGGATCACCGCCCTGTTCACCATCGGCTGTGTTTTGGGCTTCGGATCGCCCTTCCTGATCGTCAGACACCAGCTGCTCAAGAAGTAAGGTGCTCCCCAGGCGACAGCAACAACAAATGTAAGGTTAGTTTATTGTTTTTCCCATTTTTGCCTTTTTCTATTAAATGTTTCGTTTTTCAGATGTAGCGTTATCTGCTGAGGCAGCCTGTAGGCAATTTCAGTGTGTTACAGCTTAAATTTAAGTGAGAAGTGGAAACGAAATAAAGTTACCCCTAACCGTAGACCCAACGTGTGGATGTTTTCATTCAAAAACATACAGAAATGGCTGTGTTCTATGGAATAGGCAATTCATAAGCCTTCAATAATTGATATGTTCCACTTCTTGGTTAGAATTAGCAACCATGATTAAGCTAGCAATTCGCAATTGGTACACTTAACTGGCTTGTGATCATAGATCGGCTCGAAATGATCATAGATCTACTCGAAATAGTTCAAGTATGTATATAAATTAAAATCAATGAACTATACATATCCTGTAGTTGCCTGATTCACACATTCTTTTCTATCCCTTCAATAACAACCAATACTTGTAAATAACAAGCTTCTTAAAAGAAAGTAGCGACAATTGTAAGAATTCTATTTATTTAGTAGGCTATAAATATTTTTCAAAAAATTTCATTGAGTCGTTGCGAAATATGGATAATATGGATCTCATTGGCAAGCTATCAAGTAACTTAATATTTTAGTCTCCAAAAGCTGGTAAGAATTGTATTCATGTAGTAGGCTATAATTCTATTTCAATAGTTGTCATTCTGTGGCTACAAAATACGGGCTTACTACTGGTTCTCAAGCTATCCAGTAACTTAATATTTCAGTCACGAAAAGCTGTTACTTAAAATTAAGTTATGTGGTCTACATTGCGCAAACCCGTTGCCCAGTTCTGCAAGCCCCTAAAGCGCTATGGACACGGATATTCAGGCGGTTGTCCTGGTGCGGTAATTAAACCAAGTATTTACGGGGTTCTAGTGATCTTAGAGCTTTGAGTATCTTTCCTAGAATTTGCCCTTTGGCTTGGACAGCCCTATGCGCTTCACAGTGTGTTATCTGATTGCCGGAGTCGTGGGCTTTGGAGCTCCGTTTCTTGTTATTCGTCACCAGATGCTGCGCAATGTGACTGAAGATCCGTAAGTACCAAAAGAGCAATCCGAAAATCATTTCACACAAAATGTTTGTTCTACAGAAAAGAAGAGGAATAACTCAGATATGATGTAAAACTCTCGTTAATAAAGTATTAAGGGGCATTGCACATGGAATTTATTGTCGTATCTACTTGTTAACAATTGGCTTGGTGGTTTTCTTTTACTTTAGCTAAACATAATTTTCGTTCGAAAGATCAGTACAAAGACCGGCACTGGCGGCGATCAAGGAAATTCGTTAATTGACTAGGCTATCACAGGGACAAGCTACAGCTCCTCCTTGCCATCGAAGTCGTACTCCTCCTGGACGGGCGATTCATCGCAATACCTGGCCTGGTCCGAGCAGATCTTTATGTCCAGATCGTCGCCGAGCTCTTCGGCCTGGAAGGCCTTCACGAAGATCTCGTCGTTGTCCTCCAGAACCTCGTTGCAAAAGTGGCCCAGACTTTTGTTGAGGTCACCATCTTGCACAAAGTCCACCAGCGAGGAGTCGGGATTCATCTGACCATTGATGATCATCTTCAGGAGAGTGAATTTACCATTGCTCTTGTATGTGGCCTTTAGGTAGTCGTCCATTTTTTCACCTATAAAGGAGGGAAAAGGTTATTAAGAGGGGTTTTTAAAAGGTGTTATAAAAGGCAGGTGATTTTTAAAACATTGTTCAAGCTAATGTAAACAATAAGTAATTCTATTTGCTAATTCATTCGCTTCAAAAATATAGTTTCTGGATGACAAAATGTGCTTGTTGAATTTTAATAACTATCATACGACACTGTATAGTGTACACGTTAAATGTTTAGTTCTAATGTGAATATGGAGCGTATACTTGATTTAGTTTATTTTACAATTGTTATTATTGCTACACCAAATTAAGCCGACCCAAAATATATTTTATACTCACAGATTTTCTCCATCAGTTCGGTGAGGAACATCTCAGACTTGACGAGGCGCACTTTCTTGCTGATCGAGTTTCCCTGGGCATCCAGGCGGAAGCCACTGACATCGGCCATCTTGTGGGAGTCCTCCTTGGCAATGGCCTCCTCCAGCTCCGTCACCACGGCCTTGCACACTGTAATTAATAGAGTTCCAATTATCACACATGGGGGCCAGGGTCAACAAGTGTACAGCCGCCTGTTGCTGATTTTTCGATTTGTTTTTTTTGTTGTTGTCCTTACCATGACACTTGACCTCGCGGGATGTAAAGCTGTATCCTTGGGCCAGGGCCAGCAGGCCGAACAGGATAAGCGCCTTGGTCAGCATATTCGTGATAATTGATTATTAATTTAAAGCGTGGAAATTAATTGCAGCCACCACGTCAGCACAAGCGCGTTCAGTTTGAAAGTGCGGCGTTGATAAGTCGTGTGCTGTATTTACGATGACTTAAGAGCGACGTGGTTCTGGTTCTTAATGCTCTTTTGCGATAAGTGTAGAATTCTACTTTATTTATGCCAAGGATGAGGCGGCGGGGGGAGGTGGGTGCAGGTCAGTTGTCACTATGATTCAAGTAAATATTACTAAGAAACCTTTTGCTTAAACGTGTCTATCGATAGCAAAAGTCACTTGAAATTCTTAAATATTTTTAAGGTGACCATCTCTACAGTTTTCATTGCGAGTTTTTGAAGTAATATATATTTTTAACCAATCACAATGATAAGTTTGTATTACTTTTAAAACATTTTTCCAATATTTGAAACATTGTTAATATAATAACAATAAATAACTTGATAATATAAACATTAGAATTAGGTTGTTTGATAAAATTTTTTTTTTGTAATTTTAATAATATATGTGATTGTTTCTTTTTTAAATATTGCTTGCTTTAGTATTAATTTGATCAAATATTTTTAATAATAATAATGTACATTTTTGCGTTTACCCGAAGTATCGATACTTAGCAGCGCGCGAAATTCAAATTTAGTTTTTCCCAGCATCAACAAAAAGAACGCAGAAGTAGAACTGGGGTTTTCTCTTAGCTCTGGATCGAAAACGTCTGCCACTTGAGAATATATAGCGAGCTGATAACTGAAGAGTCAGTACAAATGGGAAATTGCTCGTGAGTGGTTGCTCATTTCTTGGCTCGCCATGCGAATGCAATCGAACCGCGTAATTAACCGGCAAAACGTTCGTAAAGTATAAGAAACCCACAAGTCGGTCGTGTCCAGCGATAATTTTTACATACTCTTATTAACCAATCTAATTGGCGTTAATTAAGTGTCGTGTATGTCTCTCCACTCGCGTTTCTCTTTCTTTTTGCTCGTTTGCGATCGTCTCTAGACGACTGTGTGCTCGGTTAATTGATAAGAACGAATTGTAGTCGCATTTTGCCATGTTTATTCAGCAAAACCCTAGAAAAACGGAAATGCAACCATTTCTATACCTTTTCTTTCTAGCTAGGGTCAATTTGTTGCTGACCCTGCTAAACGAAAAGTCGTGATCGCTGCTGAGAGATAAGAGATCATTCATTGAGCTAACTATGAATGAATGCGCTTGGAGAGCTTCGGGGAGATAAGACATTTCATATGGGTATTGTAAAGATTTCAAAATAAATTCTGGGAATGGGTCTTTAAAAAACTACAGATACATATTTATATCTTACATCACGATACAAAAATGTTGAAATAAATTCATTAGGATATATTTATTATTTTAATACAATTTTCAAGTGACTTAGAGATAAATGGTACACAATTTGGGTTTCGGCTATCAAATTGGTATTAGCTTTCACAATTATTAGCTCAATAACAATGACAATTTCCCTTTACGCATACACCTGAAGTGCCCCGTTTTTTACAGAACGACATACAGTCGTTGATCCGGCAGGTGGCACGTTTTTGGCGATTGTGCTCCTTCAGCTCTTCAGTGGGAATCTGTTCGTCCACATAATGATTTACTGAACCCACATCATTTGGACCTTTGGTAGCGGGTTCGGCCAAAACTGCGCAAACAGCAACGAGAGCTAGAGCCAGGATAATTGTAATCTTCATGGTGGGATCTCGAATAGAAAACTGTTCTAGCTGGTTCAGCTTCGATTCGTCTTTTATAGTAAATTGAAGCACTACCGGTTTATGATAATGATTCTATTTGTTGTCAGAGTTGTGAAAATAATTGTTTGTTTTAATATGGGGAATGTAATACATAAATGCAAAAGCAGTTTCCGTTTAGTGCATAACTAGACACTGACAAATTAAGCCGTTATGTGACATTGGAAGTTTATAATACTGTACACTGTACACTCTATCCAAATAAAAACGACTGACTTAAACTTAAAATAAGCTCTTCATTTTTAAGTAGTAAAACAATTTTAAAAGACTAAGAAGGCAACATTGGGAACATTCTCTTTAGTTTTTTTTTTAAATAAGGTTGATAATAGTTTTTTTTAAATCTCTGATGGAGACATTTTAAATGGACCATTTATTTTTAAAGTATTTACAATTTTTGGCTCTCATCCTGATTCGGATGATTTGTCGGGATCTAAGCCAAATCAGCGACGGCAAACACAGACGGCCTTGTCGCTGCAGTATCCTCCCTTGAACCCCTTGGTAACGCAGTGGGCGGCACAGGCGGTGTGGTTCCAGTTCCATTTGGACAGAAGGTCGCAGGTGGCTCTCTTCTGGCGACTGTGCTCCACCAACGCTCCCTCCTGGGCATCCTGGCTCACCAGAGGATGATCCACTGGAGCCGACTCATCCTCGGGAACTGGTTGAGCCTGGATAACGACGGCCACGAAAGCCAAAGCGACTGCCAAGAATACGATGAACTTCATGGTGAAATATCAGAGGAGATACTGTTGTGCTAGATCGTAATTTCACTGGGTTTATATAGCGATCGCGCTGGCAGATCGATTCGCCCAGGGACTCCCAGACGGTGACTTGTTTTTCCATTGTCTCTTTTGCCATGCAGGAACACACGTCTCGGGGGTTTTTAAATTTTTTTAGATCAATGCCAATGGGAGAAACATATGTATACTTGCCTTCCCTTGAGAATATTAACAATATTTACAGATAAGAGTCATTTTCATTTCTAGGGGTTTTTAACGGCTCCGCAAGTTGTAGGCAATGAAGCGTTAACAAAATGACAAGTTTATGGTAGAAAGCTAAATCTACAGAATTTACCATTTAAAATTGAGTTTAGTCTAATTTTTATCGTTTGAGGTTTAAGCTTCATTGAAAATTTGTAAATCCCAGAAAGTTGTGGTTGACAGGATATGCAAAAACCCATAAGCCTTAAGTATACAAATAAAACTAGCATCCGAATTTTTGACTTGAAACTCTTAAATAGTTGAAATTCGCTGATCTCGGAGAATCTGGTATTCGCCTCGATTTCAAGCTAACTTTTTGATTGCGACCCAGTTGAAGGGCTGCATAAAGACAAACAGTTACACTGAGATACTCCAATACGCAGATACATAAACAGAGGCGACAATAAATAATTTCTACCGAAAAGTCTCTTCATAAAGCCAGGCAAATAAACAAACAAGAATCACACAATGATTAGTTGGGCTCAGCACACTGCGTCTGGGGCGGGTGTACTTGTATCTGTATCCGTATCTGAGCGTACGTGTATCTATATCTGTATCTGCATCTGGTTCTGAACCCAGTTGAGCCGAGCCGACAATCCCGATCGAATCCCACGACCGTGGCTTTTTCAGTTCCTCTGCTCCTTGGCTGGCCGTTGCCTGTTTACCTTTGTTATCGACCAGGTTGTCTTGTCTTGCATTTTGGCGTCATACTGTCTGCCAGTCCACTCCACTTGAGTTCTTACCCCACCCCTATTAACCGTCTCGAGGCTTATGCGTTTAACAATTTTTACACGGAGAGAAAATACGAAAAAGAGGTTACTCTATTTTTTGTAATTTAAACACATCAATCCTTAAATACTACTATTTTAGAACAATTTTAAATTGTAACAAGAAAGAAAGCAAACTTCGGCAAGCCGAAGTTCATATACCCTTGCAGCTATCGCAAGAATTAAATATTTTTGAAAACATTAAAATTATGATTTACTTGCGTATATGTTTAAAAACATTGAAGCTATGAAGATTTGCAGCTTAATTATTTGATTGTTCTTTTATATATTTTCATTATTTGTATAGGGGCTATATGATATAGTCGACCGATTTTGATGAAATTTAAACCATAATTCTGAAATATTTAACCATTGCTATATGTCGAAGAACTAAAAAACAAATTAAAAAACAGCAAAGTTATAATTTTTTTCAATTATTTTTCCGATTGTTCCTATGGGAGCTATATGCTATAGTCGTCCGATTTTGATGAAATTTTAATCATAATTCTGAAATATTTAACCATTGCTATATGTCGAAGAACTAAACAAAAAATTAAAAAGCAGCAAAGTTATAATTTTTTTCAATTATTTTTCCGATTGTTCCTATGGGAGCTATATGCTATAGTCGTCCGATTTTGATGAAATTTTAACCATAACTCTGAAATATTTAACCATTGCTTTATGTCGAAGAACAAAACAAAAAATTAAAAAACAGCAAAGTTATAATTTTTTTTCAATTATTTTTCCGATTGTTCCTATGGGAGCTATATGCTATAGTCGACCGATTTTAATGAAATTTAAACCGTAAATCGGAAATATTTAACCATTATTATATGTCGAAGAACTAAACAAAAAATTAAAAAACAGCAAAGTTATAATTTTTTTCATTTATTTTTCCGATTGTTCCTATGGGAGCTATATGCTATAGTCGTCCGATCCGGCTCGTTCCGACTTATATACTACCTGCAATAGAAAGACAACTTTTGGAAAAGTTTCATGCAGATAGCTTTAAAACTGAGAGACTAGTTTGCATATAAACGGACGGACAGACGGACAGACGGACAGACGGACAGACGGACGGACAGACGGACAGACGGACAGACGGACGGACAGACGGACATGGCTAGATCGACTCTACTAGTGATGCTGATCAAGAATATATATACTTTATAAGGTCGGAAACGTCTCCTTCACTGCGTTGCAAACTTCTGACTGAAATTATAATACCCTCTGCAAGGGTATAACAACTATAATTTGGACATTTAAATGTGATTTAAACAAACTGACTGTAGGTCTTGTTTGTGAAATTCTACAACATTTAGTTTTTAAAACCAATTTTATTCTAAGTGCATGCTTGATCGTCGAAGAAGACCACAAAACGAAGTGTGGCAAAGCCGAAAACAAAGCGGAGAAAAGGGGCGGGTGTTCGAGGGGGGTGGGACTGGATAGGAAGAGGGGTATAAAATGGGCTGGGGGAGAGGGGGCAGTTATCGCTGCCGTCAGACTGTCTGGCAGGTTTCACACCGAAACGGAGACAGAGACCGGCAACTCCTCTCCATCTCCTCCTCCTTCTCAAAATCCTCTCCAGCCGGACTCCTTGGCCAGCGGCTCTATAAATCACAGGAGCGGGGCCCTCGACGGCTCACGTTTTCCCCTAACCACCGCCCCTCCCCCGCTGACTGAGCAGCTGGTGCAACTGTTGGCCGCTTTGTTTTAGATGTTTTTTGTTGCTTTTGTTGTGTGAGGCAACCTCTTGAGATGCACAAAGGAAGATAAATTTTACACGCACACACAAGTGCTCTCTCTGTCTGCCGGTGTGTGAATGTGATCGTTTTTTATGCTGCTACAGTAGGAACTTCCTAAGTATACATACCCTACATAGATCGATATTCCCCAAAACTTAACTTACTAGAAAATATATCTTTTTCGAATATATTTAATTTCGCTTTCAACTCAACTCAACTTTCGTAAATTAAATCAATATTTATTTGGCCAATCATAATAAATTAATTTGGATATGACTACAAAATCAATTTATTGATGGGCCTTTACTTTATAGACGATAAGGTCCTTGAAAAACTATTTTTAGATTAAACTTTTTTTGGTTAATACGCTGGATCTACAGTAATAAGTATTGGTATGGTGCAATTTGGTCCCACAGTTTGTCGGTTTAACTAAGACAGGTTCCACTGTGTCGGCTGTCCAGTCTCCAAGAGTCGGAGTGGTAAAGATAAGATATTGGAAGCGACACGCCAGACACTCTGGCGGCGGCGGGATCCCGCTCTCTCTGCCGATCTCTCTCTGCTCGCCCTCACCCGCTGCCACTAGCTCTGTCGGGGCCGCTCTCTCATGTTTTGGGCCACTCCACTCCAAGGCAAATGGCCAGTCGTGTGTGGAACTCGGCTACGATCGGTTGGTTTTTGGCTTTTGGCTTTTGCTCTGCAGCTCAGTGCTCCTCGCTACTCGCTCCTCACTTCTTCTTGATCGTTTTCGGGCGGTTTTCCAATCGAAACGTACCAAAAATCGCACACATAAAGACACATTATATAAACAGAAGATCTACAACACCTTAATGCATACGCGCACACCTCTCCCACTATAAATAGCCCACCGAAATCGGTAAATAAATAAATCGGAGAGCGGCAAAGTAAAAGTTCTAGGAAGAAAATCTAATTGCGACTTTGCGAAAAAGATGGTGAAATAAACGAAACAATTTTAATATAATGAGAGAAACGCACTCGATACAATAAACGCGCATACTTAACCAATCCCTAACAACAAGAACAGTTAATTGACGAAATCGAACTGCAAAGTGAAATGTTGGCGAGATGTGTTTTGTTCGTCACCTGGCTGGCGGTCTTCGTTGCGACTGGGAAAAGTGATGATCAGTTGGTAAGTTTTTTAAAATAATAAATAATTATAATCATTTTTTAATAAATAAAATGAAACGGGTCGATTTAATTGTTGTTGAAGCCAACGACTAAATATTTATAAATATGTTACTGAATGATCATAATATAACTCTTTTTAAAGTAGCTTGAATCATTTTGGAAAAGAAGAAACAAGTAGTTGAGATCAAATATACAGGTTATCAATCCCTTTTAAAAGGTTGCATTAGTGTTATATTATATTGGTAATCCCCAAAAGATAAGAACCTTAAAGTTTTTAACCAAGCTACATAGGTGTGTCGTGTAACAAAATAGTCTTAACCGAAAAAAAACATTATGGGTTATGAATTTCAAGTGCATTTTTTAAACCCAAAAAAAAATATTGGTGTGCTTGTTAGCGGGCCCTGCCAAACTTTCTGCCAAGGCATACATGCATACATATTATGTATGTACAAATGATCCACCCCATTTGTAAATCCCAAGAAAACACTTGAATATTCCAGGTATCAAAGGTACCAAAAGTCAGACAAAGAAGAAGCTGCGGCTGTTGTTCTTCTCCTCTTCCTCCTCCGTCTCTTTCTCCAGTTTGTACGCCGCCGCGCTGTCTGCCAAACTCCAAAAAGAGAGTCTGCCGGCTCCGTTCTTCTCCGATTCTCTCCTGCTTTTCTCCTCCTCTCCTGTCTTCAATCCCACACCTTGATTTTTGTTTTTGTTTGATCTGACCGACGAACGTGTTTCGTGTTCCTGCAGAAAAGAAGAAGAATAATAAGGGGAAGTGCAAAAAGGAGAACACAAAATGGTCACAAGTCAAAAGCGATTTCTTTTTTTCCTGGCTTTTTCCTTTTTTTATACCCTTATGTTGGATATTGTAATCTTAGTTGAAAAAGTGAAAAAAAAGTTTACAAACACTAATGCTGAGGAATATGCTTTTTGAACACTCTTCATAACTCTCCAGTTTAAGAATACCATTATGTTTTCTTTCTAAATCTTTAAAATAATCAATCTGCAAGGGTATGCACACTTCGGTTTATTAGCTAGCTATCCTGTCTTATTTTAATATTTTTTTTTTGCGCCAATGCCACTAAGCTGGCTGATGATGACAAAGTGTGAAGAAGTATTTAAAGTGTGGAGCTTGTTCTTCTGATTCTTCTCCGCCTATCGAAGCCTCCACTTCACCTCCTCGTTCGCCGAGCGTGAGAACTGTCAGTCAATAATTTTGTCGTTATCTTGGTAACAATCCTTGAACTGTCTCCATTTATAATTTGTGGCTCAGAGGGAGAGAATGGGAGGGGCACTGGCAACAGGGTGCCGCAGGTGGGGATTTTCAGTCCAGGCACGTTTTCGGGATAACGCCCTATTTAAAACTTAGATAATCACAAGCGAAACTGTCATTTGCGTTTCCAATCAGACATTCCCAAGTGCATGGGTGTGGAACACAAACAGTTCAAAGGGGTTTAGTTTTTGGTAAACAATTCTATAATTGTTAATTTATGGGTAATGTCGACTTGAGAGCTAATGTCATTTTTTTATAATGTATTTTTACAATTTTAAAATTTCTTAAGCCGCTTGAGTTTTATGGGGGTAGGTATACAAATTTATTTATAAGAATACAATCAAATGCTTTAATTTAAATACATTCCTCCATTCCCAAATTTGTTAATTGGCTAATGGGGTATACATGTTCGACTTATAAACAGATGCTCCACACCCCACTTCTGAGAACAGGCATCGAATCTGCCGATTGCAGCAATATATGCCGTGTCTATATACGTTTGTCCAATATCTGTCTGTGCCCAGTCGGGAGTCGAAAATCGCCTGCGCACTCCGATTTCCAGGCAGCGCGTGCTTGGCTGGCCACAAAAAGAATTCGAATTGTTTACCGACATTCTACATTATTTGTGTACATGCTGGGGCAACAAGATAACACTGGGACAGGTATTATTTGTGCTTCTCATAATTGTATAACATTTCTTGTTGAGCTCCTGGTGTTTAGTGTCAGCAAAGAGGTCATGGGGTATACATATTTATATTTCATGGGTGTCTACATAAACGTATACAATTACTAAGCTGGATAATCCCTTCTTTTTCATATGATATTCTTTCAAATTTATGATCTGACTGCAGAATTAATGTGATAGTTAATCCTAGTTTATTGTTCATAGATATCTTTAAATTTGTTATTCATTTTTTAATCCAAAAAGAAAAGTGCATAGTTAAAATGAATCGAAAGTGGTACAGAAGTTGGACAGAAGTCGCTAAGCTCAGAAACTTTAACAGCTATGAGCACCTCAATTAGTATTCTCATATCTTATCCGAAACATGTTTCAGTTATGGGACATTAAGATGGCTTGACGCATTTTACTTTTCAATAACAGCGAAATCTAATTAATGTCCGAGTGACACGACAAATAAATATCAGTGGGCTGGCCGCAGCAAATTGGCGACAAAAGGCGCTGCACTGGCAAATCCCAAAGTGTTGGGCCTCCCCATATATATATATGCGTACGTAGTATATATAGATACAGATGTCTGCGATTTACATACACGGGTCTATGTGATTTTGTGGGCTAAACAAGAATTTGCGCACTCGGCAGCCAGTTGGTCGAGCTGCAGGCTGCCATAATTTTGGTGCTGATTTCGGGGCTGTGTATTCGCGATGCCATTCGAGTTATGGGCCTGACAACTTTGATTTTCACATTAGCCGGGTAGCCGGTGGGCCACCCCCAAACCCCCTTTTCAGCCGCCCCTGTCGGTCGTGGCCAACATTCGTATTCCAGTCAGAGGCGAGAGCCCAGACGCTTGGCGACTCGCAGACCTGGCCATAAGTGCAGTAAATCATTTTACGCGTGTTTGCCGAAGGGGGAGCGGTATATAGATATAGATATAGCCGAGACTTGGACTGACACCTCCTCCTCCCTCTCCTTCCGATCTCTACCTGCAGATGAAGCTCCCCGCCTGCGCCGCCAAACAGGGCGAGTGCGATGATAACGAGGGTCCCGTCTGCGGCACCGACGGCCAGACCTATCCCACCAGGTGTCACCTGCTGCGGGCGCAGTGCGGCGGCCACCAGGTGAGCCTCAAGTACAGCGGATCCTGCAATGGTGAGTATCGATATATCATATTACTTTGGATGTGCCCCTAGATGTAGTTGCGGAATAATAGCTCTTTAGATAATCAGGATAGTCTTCCTTAACCTTGGGTCGACATCAGTTCTTATGTTCAGTTTGATGTTTTACCCAGATCTGGTCCAATAGTAAATTTAATATGATTTCCTGATATTAAAATTATGTCCCACCTCTCAGCATGTTTGGAGGCGGTAAAGTTCGCCCGTCGTCAAAAGGAACGTGATCCCGGATACTTTGTGCCCAGGTGCAGGAAGGATGGCAACTTTGCGGCGAAGCAGTGCTACGGGAACAACGGATGCTGGTGCAGCGACAGCCAGGGCAGGCCCATCGAGGATGACTCCAATAAATTCCGGCGGAACGGAAAGCTCCGCTGCAGATCTAATCGACGCGATCGCCGCCGCCTGGCATCACATCAGATTGGCTATAGTCCGGATACCTCCGCCTCCAAGGGCAGTGCAGAGACAGGATCTTCTGCCCACCGACCCTGCAGCAAGTCCGATCGGCAGATGTTCAACACTAATCTGATGCGCATGATCCGCAACGAGGCCCAGAGCTTTTTCCGCCAACCCTCGCTGTCGGATTCCCACATATTGGAGTGGAAGTTCTCCAAACTGGACACGAATGGCAACAAGTTGCTTGATCGCCAGGAAGTGAGGGAGCTGAAGAAGGTCCTCAGGCGGGTGAGTAGTTTATTTGGTGCGTCCTGGATGGCTTATACCTCTTGGTTTTATTTAGCATGTAAAACCTCGAAGATGCGGACGCACCTTTGGCAAATACTGCGATGTCACCAAGGATGCAAATCTCAATTGGCTGGAGTGGAGCATCTGCTTTACCAAAGAGTTTAACAACCGTGAGTAATGTCGATTCCTTTATAATGTGGGTATGCGATTGCAGTTGTAGTTGTGCCAAGTACCTATACAAAATCCCAAGACTCACTTGAATGCAATTAAATTACATAAAAGGGGATTATCCATTTAAATTTATAAAATAAATTTATTGACCCTATCAATTTGTATAGATATTAATAAAACTTTACCCATATGATATGAAGCTTTATCCATTAAATAATACTCCCAATGGGTTGTGCTTAAAATTAATACTAACTTCACAGCATGATCTTTGATGATACTCAACTTGGTAACATTATCATCCACTCGAACCTTTAAATCAACTCCCATCTGTGTGTCACCTAAATCCAGGTAGTGCTGTCGTTGCCCTCCTGCCCAGCAGTGCAGCTACCGCCCCGCCGCACTCCACCCACTACAGCATCCACAATACGAACCACCGAGGTCATACCAATACCAATATTATAGGTAGTGGCCACAGTCCGCACTCGTACTCCGAGGATGTAAGTGGCAGTGATGAGCACGAGGAAAACTACGAGGACAGCGGGACGGGCTACGGAGGAGAAGAGGAGGACTCGCAGGGTGCAGATCTGCCCAGCTCACGAACCCACATCCCATCATTATATAGTACGTAGATTTGTCAATCTATATTTGTCCTTTCATTTAATCATTTTGCTATACAACTTTGAACAAGCATTGCATATACAAATTTAAAATTTCTATAATTTCCTTACCCTATTATTTAAACTCAAAGCATTCTTATATCTTAGAGATCATTTCAACAGATATCATTTCGATGCTTCCTTCATATGAGATAAGATCCGATTGACTCTGATTTCATATCGTTTCTTTTCTGTTCGTTATCATTCTGCATGCTTCCAAAGGGCAGAATAAAATGTATGTTAACGCGCAAATCTTTACAGTGCTCAACTCGAAGCCGGAGGCGACGAGCCAGGACATAGAAGGCGAGTCCAACTGCTGGATAGACCAGTCGATGACGCGTGAGGAGCAGGGCGTAAGTGATGATGCATCTTTCAAAGATTACCTTTCCTAAGCTCGGTTATCGTTATCCCCTTGAACAGCATGGCGGAAAGAACGTTCTATTCGTGCCGCAGTGCCTGCCGGATGGTCGCTACCAGCGCATCCAGTGCTACTCCTCCACATCCACCTCGTACTGCTGGTGTGTCAACGAGGACACGGGCAAGAGCATTCCGGGCACATCGGTGAAGAACAAGAAGCCGCAGTGCGACGAAAGTGTGGTGGTGCGGCCGATGAAAGGATGCACCGAACCGCGCAAGACGCAGTTCCTCAAGGAGCTGAAGGCCTACCTCAACTCATCCCTTCTGCCGAGCATCACCACCGGGTAGGAAGGCATCCCATTTTATTATATCGTTAAAGTATTCTTATAAAACTACAGTTTTATGGACTAGAGTCCTTAAATTTCACATTTCCTGGCTATGAACCAAAAAAACACTTCCTGTTTCCGACTATGAACTATTTCTTAAAATCAATTTTCCACCAATTTATTTACAAAAATTCAAATTCTTTAAATTTGCAGCACCAATTCCAGTACGTGGAAGTCAGAAGATGAGCGGATTGCCACATTGAGCTTTGTCGTTCTGGACAAGAACAAAAATAAGTCGTGGGATCGGCGAGAGTGGAAGAACTTCCGCGATCTTGTCACCAGTGCGAGGTGAGCTGCCATATATATTCTAGCCTCGCTGACAATCCCTAAATATTTGCAATTTCGTAGCAATCTGCGCAGATGTGGCAAGAAGATGCCGCGCTACTGCGACGTCAATGGGGACAAGAAGATCTCGCTGCCCGAGTGGCTCAACTGCCTGCAAGCAACTCCGCGGGAAAGTGCCACCACAGCCAAGCCGGCACAGTCAAGTGAGTGATCCTTATTAATAATAATATGGATTGATATTAATTTGGGACGAAATTCCAGATGAGACGGCCAGCCCAAAACTCCAGGGATTTAATCCGCTGGAGCGATATCTGAAAGATTAACTGGGAATAAGTAACTTCCCATCCGTGCTGCTGCTGCTACTACTCATTAGATGCCATGACACACACAAAACCACACGAAAACACTCACCAGACTCCACCACTCAAAATAGGGAGGGTCGGTTTTTTGGATTAATAAGCTGTAAACTATGCTTAGGGACATTTTTTTTTCTTTAAGAAATACAATTTCTAGCTAAAGATAAATTATAATTTTTACATATCTCACAATTTTTATACAATTAGTAGACAACATACATTTTTAAACATTTTTTTTTTTGAATAGAATAATACTGGATTTTTTGCATAATTGTAAATTATTCTTAGTACTTACAACAAAATTAAAATTGTTAATTCCTTTGACTAAAAATACTTAAGGTTCTTTGGTTGTAAGACAGTTTAAAGTTCAGTTACCCAGAATTTTTCCGTAGAGCCACTCGATCTGCACAAAAGTTAGTCCAAAAAATCGATCACCCCGAACCGCATCTACACACAGACACATTCCTAGCATTAGATTCTATAATTTACATGTGTATGTTACTAATTCTTAATTAGTGTTGTAAATATTATCGGACATAAATGTTTAAGCTAAGTTAACAGTTTGGTAAAAGTGGCTACACGGGTAGTTCAGCCTAGTGATGTTTGGCACTGATCACATCCCAGTGGATGAGGCGAAGCGGCAACCTCTTGATGTCCATTTCCTCCCATGGGATAACTCTCAGGAGCTGCTTGGCAGTGTAGAACAGCAGAAGGATAACGAGCGTGGTCACCTCCATGATGACAAAGTGCGAAATGGACGTGCCGATGTCCAGCCAGGAGCCCTGGTTGCGCACCAGGAACAGAAAGTTCAGACCCATCACATCGCAGATGAGTAGCAGGCAGATGAAGATCTGCTCTTCGTGCTGGCGCACAAACTCACTCTGGGCATAGACCACTGACATGATCAGCACCACGGGCACGAGGAGCTTCAGCAGCACCAGACCCATGATCACAAAGGGAGCAAAGTGACTCACGTAGCAGCGAGCGATGTTGGGATCAAAGGAGCTGATGGAGGCTATGTTGCCGGAGCCGAAGAGCGAAAAGAAAGTGTACAGAAGCAGGGTGAAGGCCAGTCGCAGCGCTGACTTCTCCGCCTTCGCGTTCTGCGTCCTCAGGGTGAGACTCAGTTCCAAGGCCAGCAGCTGGACAAACACAGCCTCGTAGGAGGTGCATAGTGTGGCGTACAGGGATCCCAAATTAAAGCCGATCTGGGCCAGACGCATATCCAGTCTCTGATCTTTGCTCAGCAGAATGGATGCGAAGGTGTATACGAGAAACGACCAGCTGGCTACCTTCAAAGGTGGAGGAATATTCCAACCATTTGAGTGCAGATAGGCACACACAATGGTTTGCAGCAGGATCAGGGCATTGCAGTATTTGGTGTGCGTTTTGTAGCTTAATCTCGTCTTCGAATTCCAAAGTGAGTTCACAAGGATCACAACAACTCCAGCTCCAAGCAGATACCCATTGCGATAGCCCACCGACAGGGGCAGCAGGGGAAAGCAGGCCAGGATCAGGACTAAGGCCAGCCATGAGTAAAACTCTCTGCTCTTTGGTTTAAAGTTGCCCCAACCATTGTAGCAGGCGAAGGCCAAAAAGCAGAGTGAGATCAGGCGTCGCTCGAAGAAGGTGAATACCATCAGCTCCGCGCAAGCTATAATCAATAAAAGCTGCCACATTGTTGTCTGCAAGGCTGGCACACTGTAAGCCGCTGCTAGTGAGGAGGCAAAGTTGTGACTCCAAGGTTGCAGAGCCTTCAGCCAGACGAAGAGCGGCAGGAGCAGGTAAAAGGATATGTCCAGCGGTGTTCGCTGGCTCAGCAAGCAGATGACCAGCAGGATCACAGAACTTCCCAGGCTCAGCCTCACCAGCTTGGGGCTCCTCTCAAGGATCAACTCCACTTTTCCAGCTCTGTTCCGGGACAGCAAGCGGTATAGGTAGAACATCCATGCCAGGAAAGTGGAAGTGGTGCTCAGTAGAAGCGCTCTACGGTAGTATCCATGGTAGTAATCGATGCCTTCAAGGGCTTGCACCATGACGGCTTGACTTTTGGCCATGGCAAGTGAATACTCCCTTTTCTTCTTAAGCTGCAAGAAGTCATCTTTGTATCCTTTAATGACATCCGCTGAGAGCGCATCAAATTCGGACAAAACCTCCGCAAAAAATCCTTTCCTATGTTGCTTCAGCAGTGCCTCGTACTGCTCCAGAAGCTGCAAAGCGTTTAGATGGCAGGCCATGGCCTCGTACTCCCTGCTGACATTCATGTAGCCCACGGGTAACGTTCCGAAATTGTTCATGGGCGGCGGCAGACCCACCAGTGCGGACATCAAGGGTGTCAGCTGTGCTTGCTCCAGTTCGTGTAGCGGCATTGCCGGACCTTCGTTGTTGGGCATAAATGTGCGACCTCCAGGATTGGGAACCGTTCGGTAAACTCCTGCGCCCCAGAGCACAAAAGGAGTGTCCGTCTCATGGGGCGAGCCCGCACCATGGGCACCTGCAAGTGATCGGTTTGTCTTAATTCGGATCTAAGGTTCCCTACCACAATTGCTTACCCGAGTCGGTCATTCCATGGTCAGCGGTCAGCAGGTACGCAGTGCGCTTGTCGGGAAACACCCGCTCAAATTCCTGATAGATCTCGTAAATGCCCCTCTCCGTTTTGGCCACATTCTGAAGAAACTTGGGCGAGCCCGGCTTGTGGACATGTCCGGCGGTGTCCAGGCCCAAGAGGTGCAGGAAGAATACCACGTGACTGGCCCTTTCCAGAGCCTCCCGCTTCCGCTGGATCAGCAATTTAACCCGCTTGAACACCCACTCGTCCTGCTCGTAGGTATCGTAGCCCGGCGAAAAGTCCAGCTCGGTGTAGGAGCGGAAGTGCGTCCATCCCTTGGGCAGATGTGAGAACACGTCGAGGACGTCGTCGGCGCCCCAAGCGTAGGTCTGGGAGCTCCGGTTGAACACCGTGTCGAAGTCGATGGGGTTCTTCTTCCAGCCACGTAGCACAGCCGAAGGATCCTCGTACAATCCGGCGATCAGGGTTATGTGGCCGGGTCGGGTTTCCGTGGGCACGCGAGTGCGCGACACGCCCACCACGCCCTCGCGCGTGAAGATCTTGCTCAGGTGCGGCACATACCGGCAGTTCTCCTCGAAGAAGGAGTCGGCGCGGAATCCATCGGTCACAATCAGCACCAAACGCGAAGCCGGCGCCTCCAGTCCGTAAACTATTGGACGTTTCTGCGGAGTCAGACCCGTAATCACAGGCGAACGGAAGTAGATCACGAATATGGAGCCCAGGAGCAGTACGTGGACCCCCAGTGCGTAGGCAATCCACATCGCGGCCGGAATGTTTGTTTTCAAATGCCAATCAGCTGTGAGGAAAAGTAAGTAAGCGCCTGCTATCAAATACTCAAACCGGACTGGAAGGCAGTCAGTGATGGCAGAATCTAACAGCTACTGTGGAGGGGAATGTATAATGTATAAAGTAAAATAGCTATTTTCATGTCAAATTAAGCTTCTAACTTTTTTTGTTCGATTACTTTTTTTTGAATTGCACATACTTAAATCGAAGCCGCTTCTGCTTTTATGTTTTATAAATTGGAAATATTCTTATTAATGATTTTTTTTATCTCTGAAGAAATAATGTTTTATCATAATATTAAAACTGAAAAACGTCTAGGAAAAGCAAAAAAACAAATTGATTGGTTTTATTAAAAACCAATGGATCATCTTTATTTGCATATATTTGTCGTTTTAAGAAAACCATGTTAAATATTTTTTAGACATGTGTTACCGTAATTTAAATTGTTTAAATTAAAAATTAATCTTAACTTCTAGCTGTTTTTCAGCTAATAAAATATTGCTATAACAAGCCAAAAGGTCAACAGTGCCCTTTGGTTCGATACATTTCCAGCTGTTCAGTTATCGGTGCGTGTGTGTCATCTCTAAACGTAAAAATGTCAGCGGCACGTTTATACGGAGGTTTTCGTTTATTTTCCTCGAGTGCCGTGCAGCGCAATGCCGTGGGTGGCAAGAGTCTGGTGGAAGCCGTGGCGGTGACCCGGAGTGGACGCACAATCGTTGCCTGGCACCCGGACTCACCCGTTCCCTATGAGAACACTCAGCCGCTTCCGCAGATCGCCGAAGTTCAGAGCTCATTGGTGGTCAAGGAATCGGCGCTGAAAACGGCGATGCGGGCCTTCAAGAGCAAGTCCCCGGAGGTGGCCCGCCAGGAGCTGATGCAGCTGACCCACACGACCAAGCACCGCTGGTTTCCCCGCGCACGCGACAGGAAGGCCAAGCAGACGCCGATGGACCGACCGTACCTGTAATTCTCCACCCAGGGCATTGCATAATATACAAATAAATTCGTTCTCGTTTAATCCATGCGCTGGCGCTTGATGAATACATTGAGCAGATCGGAAATGGGAATGTCGGCGGGCTGCTGAGCGGGCGGAGCTGGTGCAGAGTTGTTCCGGTGCTGCGGGAAAGTGGGCATCATGCGGGGGTCACAAGCTGAAAGGTGAAAATAGTTGCATTATTGAGAAGAATTAAACCCCAAACAAGGGCAACAATTTCACCTTGCGGTGGGTCTACAAAATATTTGCTATTCAGGCACTCCTCGGCGGTGGCTCTGGTATTTGGGTTGTAGATAAACAAGATGTTCAGAAGATTCCTGCCCGACTGGCCAATCGCGTGGAACTTGATCTTGAGATTATTGTACGGCTGCTGACTCAATGTAAAGTTCTGCAGAGCGGGCAGTTCGGAAAAACCAGGCCAAATGGACTCCGATGGAGCTCCCAAGAGATCAATAATCATGTCCAGCTGGGCAATCTCCGAGTTGCCCGGAAGCAGTGGCTTTCCGAGCAGCAGTTCACCCAGAATGCAGCCAAAAGCCCACATATCCACCGCCGTTGTGTGTGTCCGGCAGCCCAGGAGCAACTCCGGCGCCCTGTACCACAAAGTGACCATCTGCGGAGTCATGGGTTTTGGGGGATTGCAGAACATGCGGGCCAGCCCAAAGTCAGCTGGGGAATGGAACAAGATTAGCCAACAAGAAGCTTTGAATTGGTCCTTCTACTTGCCAACTTTGATGCAGCCCTTGTCGGTCATCAGGAGATTGGAAACCTTTAGATCCCTGTGGATCATATAGCGCGCATGAAGGTACTTCAAGGCGTTTAGCACCTGCAGGGTGATGCACTTGACCTCGGACTCGGTGAAAGGCTGCGACATGTTGTCCAGCACGGAGGCCAGGTCCTGCTCGCAGAAATCCATCACCAGGAAGATGCTGTCCAGGCTCTTGCCCACAACAACCTCTCGCAGACGTACGATATTCTCATGCTGGCACTGCTTCAGGATCATGATCTCGCGGAGTCCACTGACAGGCAGGCCATCCTTCTCCTGATCCATGCGAACTTTTTTGAGGGCCACGATCTCATTGCTGCGGGTGTCACGTGCGCGATCTGTAAAGGATTTCCGGTTGAGCCAGTGGTTTGAATGCCTGCAAAGCTTAACTTACAGACAATTCCATAGCTGCCTTCGCCCACACGATTTAGTTTCTCAAACTCAGAGACAGGACGACAGCGACCAAACTTAAATATAGTAAATATATCAAAATCTCTGGAGAGGATTAATCAAATAAGCAAACTAACCAGATTCTGCTCGGGAATAGGCATTGGAGTGCCGCTGTTCAGTGAAATGAGGAAACCCTTGCGGGTGATAGGCGCCTGGGGATCCGGAGCCGGATTGGTGTCCATTTCGTTTGACTTTAAGCTAGACATAACTCAAAAAACCGGCATTTATACGTCCAAAGTCAAAGAATGTTTACAATATTATATTAGAGATGGTACTTCTAGTTCGATAACTTCGGGACCCGCCGATAACGCGTTAGAACTTTCGGGTCCGATTAATATTGGCGGGCTTTTACATAACATTTGAAATCTGTTCTGGGAAAATCGCCACCCGGCAATTACCTTAAATTTGGCCCCAAGTTTCGTAATAGCTACTAATTTAATCGAAAACAAAAGCGCCTGGAAACGCGGGCACGACTTACGAAAGTGAAATTGCACCAGTTTAAAGAAATTTCAAATGCATGTCTTGGGCATTAAACTCGTCATTGCCGGCTCTACGCATGTGTGAAAATCTGCGCATAAAGCCGCAACAACATCGCTTTAATTATCACTCTGAACTTGGAGCGGTTCGCCGATGGCCGGTGGTATAAAAGCTGGACCCCCGGCTTCGAGCTGCATCATTCGGGTCTGCAGTGACTAACCAAAGCCAAAGGGATATACCAGCTTTTAAACTACGAACCGCCAGAAAACTAAAAAAAAACCATCTATAACCATGCACAAGAACACCATTTGGTACGGAGCCGTGCTCTTGGTCGTCTACTACACCGTGGTCTTTTGCGAGGAGACGGAGAACGTCGAGCCCCCGGCAGAAGTGGATAGCCAAGCGGAGGACAGCTGGGAGAATCTCGGCCGGGAGTTGATGGAGTTCGAGGGACGCACACGCCGCCATCGCCACCACATGTTCTGGTGTAAGTAAATCAATCAATTGTAAAATCCCAGATTATTCTAAAAAAATATCACAGATTTAAAAGAAATATCTTAATCTTAAAGCAAGATTCAAAGCTTAGGCAGTTTTTTAAAGTGGCAAAATTATAACTTTAAAGTTTTAAGCTGATTTACTTTCAAATCTTTTACAATTTTAAAAATCCTGATATTGCAGTTAAAAAATTGATCAATCTACAAATATTCTTTCCAAGTCTATTCCCACAAAGTTACCTAATAAGAGTTACCAAAAAAACATCAAGTGTAAAGATTTAAACAATCTCCAGGTGTTATCAGAAAAGCCTAATTTATATAATAATTAGCGAGTAAGTATTACAATTATTCTGATCGTTTTGGTCAGCATAATAGCATCTCTTGGGCGCGAACAACCCCACTTTCTTTGGAAAGTTTCTCCATAGCTCAAATCCCGGGCCAGACGCACCTCATCCAAATTGGACGATCACGTATCGCTCTCAATTAACACTTTTCACTTTCAATCTTGGGCATGGATATTGTTTAATAAATGGTCGTGAAACCCTCTTTAAAATGTAGAATTTCGAGCAGTGAAAGTTTCTCGGCTCTGATGCAATGGAAAATTATTTAACCTTCTGGGTGTTTATATATGTATGTGTCTTCCTCAACAGATCGTCACCTGTGGCCCATTGCCATTGCCTACTGGATCAAGGTGAAAGTGGTGATCGTGTCCTTCTTCGTGGGCAGTGCCATTTACTTGGGACTCCGCTATTTCTGGCCTCATGCCAGGTGCAACCAGGAGATCATCCTGGATCATCCGTGAGTGCTCTTTGGTAGTTTGATTTTGTCATATTTCTTAACATCATCTTTCCTCTACTTAGTCCTTCGTCTTTCTCCCATCACGATCACATTCCCTACTCCCTGGATCACGATCACTCGGACCACTACGATGGCCCCACTTCCTATGACTCCAGCTCCAGCTTCGAGCCCTACTCCGGCTATAGCAGCTATGCCGGATCGGACATTGTGTCCGATGTGCACAGCGACTACCACAGCGAATCTCCCTCGGGTCCCGCTGGCCCACCAAGTGGCCCAACTGGCCCCGTGGACACCCGTCGTCGGGGCAGACGTAGCACTGGAGATCAGGCCCAATTGATGCAGGAGGAGGAGCAGTCGGAGCAAGTGGAGATTGTGGACGAGGAGATCTCAGAGAGTGTGGCCCGCCAAATGCCCGCTGAAGAGCAGTAAGTGCTTGGGGCTATGACTTTTTCAGTCACAATTTGGTAACATTTGCTTGATCTCCCTGCAGAATTGCCGACTTTATGTTTGCCTTCTTGGGTCTGGACTCCAAGGCCTGCCGTCGGCGCTTCGTCTGCGAAATGGAGTTCCGCTCCAAGTTGAATCCCATGACCAGCATGGCCTTCCGCATTGTGGGCCGTGGCTTCTTTGAGAAGTACACCAACGCCAGGAATCCGGAGGCCAGGGCCACCAACTTTGGCGAGTGTGCTGCCGTCAATCCCGAGTGCATATTCGTGGAAAACGGCGAGGAGAACCCAGAGCAGGAGGAGCAGCAGCCGGAAGAGGAGCAGCTGCAGGCAGCCACCGAGGAGTCCGCAGCAGAGGATTCCCAGAACGAGATCAACCTGCAAGCTGAACGGCGACATGCCAAGCACAAGAATCGCAAACTCGGCTCCATTGCCGAGCACATCCTGATGCACTAGAAAAAGCCGAGCTTAATTAATCTATTTATTTGTATTTATTTATTTTAGCTATAAGAGTGGATAACGAACACAAAATAAACTTGCCTCAAATCTATGCATGAAAAATGTGAAAAAATTACAAAGTCTGCTTAAATGCAATTCAAAAGTAAGAGTTTAAGTTACAGGGTTAAACAAAATCTCACAGAAACAAAAAAACCCAATGAATACCTACCGCGAATACCTCGAAATGTGACTAAATTGATCAACTAATGCGACTATCAGTCGGGACTAAATCTTCTTGGTCTTTTTCTTTTTGATGGCATTGATCTGATCGGCCATCTGCTCGATCTCGCGCTGATTGATGGGCTCGTTCTTGCGCACCTGCGCCTTGCTCTTCTGCCGCTCGGCAAGATCGGCCACCAGATCGTTGATCTTGCCCCACACGAAGCTGAGGAAACTGGTGGCCAGGTCCTGCTTGAAGAAGGCAATGGCCACCAGAGCGATGAGCACCAGCGCCGAGATGGAGTTCTGGTTAAGATCCGCTTCGGCGGCGCGCACCTCCGGCTGGAACTCCAGCTGGATGAACACGGAACCCCGGTCGGCCACAAACGTGGACGATGGCAGCTTGTACGTATACGTTTTGTCCGAGAGCGTGGACTGCAGCTCCACCACGTAGCTCTTGCCGTCCAGCGGAATGCGCGGGAAGAACACGGTGATGCCCGGATTCAGTTTGGCCTTGGGATTCACCGGAGTGCCCACGCGCTGCGAGAACACCGGGGAATCGGAGTTTCCTTTGCGGTACATCACAATGCGCAGAGTTTTGTAGTGTTCGTTGAGTGTGGCCGTCACCCGGGCGGTGATGTCCACAATCTTCAGGGGGCTAATGGCCACCAGATTGATGTCGCGCACATCCTCGCTGCCCACCTTCACCGTGTGCTGGGCAGGAATGGATCGCTCCACGCTGTCCTTGTCGGGCACCACGCGCACGGAGTAAGTGCAGCCGGGCTGCAGGCCGCGGATTCTGTACTGTCCGTTCGCCTCGCTGGTGGCTTCCTCCTGCTGCTGCGGACAGCCCTCCTCGGCGGTGGCCTGGACATTCACGCCGGCGAAGGGATCGCCGTTGAGGGACGTCACTGAGCCAAAGATGGAGTATGCAAAACGCTTGCCACTGGGGAGAAAGAATCAGTAGTTTAACCCCCTTTATAGGATTCCCAACGAAATGAACACTTACGTGAGGGTAACAGCAACCGTTTCGCCATCCTTGATCTCAATCATCTTGGAGTTGGGCTCAAACTTGTACTCCTTCATCATGGGTCGCAGGTAGTATTGCGATGGCGACAGGGAGTGGAAGTTAATGGCACCATTGTCGCCGGTGACCAGGTTCTTGCGATAGCTTTCACCGCCGCTCAGCGAAAGGAGCACTCCACTTAAGGTCTGGCCAGCCTCGTCCTTGACAACCACGGTTATCTCACACAGTTTGTGGGCACTGAACGACGCCGACTGGCGGTTGTAGTCACTAAACACATAGGACTCCTTTTCGGCCTTAAGATCAAAGGCCAGCGACTCCTCAATGGGACCAAACTTAAACTCGCCCGTGATGGAGGTGAGGATTTCCAGGCTCTGCAACTCCGGCTGATCCGGGAAGGAGAGTGTGATCTTGGCATCCTTAATTGCGGGAACCACCTTGCCACGCAGGATCAAGCCCCTGGTGGCCACAAAGTTGAAAGCAATATCCACACAATCGCTGGCACCCACAATCTCCTGTTGCTGCGGCGCAAACAGCAGGACATCGCTCACAGGCGTAATGCGAAGCACCTGTTCCGGTTTCAGATATGTGTCATATCGGTAGGCAAACTTGCCATCAACCTTGTGCGACTCAGCAACGGGAGTGATAACCTCCTGACCCAGAGCCTCCGATTCCAGCACAAGTTTGATGGACTCAGCCGTGGGTTCTGTGGACAGCACACGAATGCCCGTCTTGTGGGACACGGCATTGATGATCAGGGTTTGCAGCTGGTCTGGCTCCGGAGTGATAAACTTGCTGGGCAACGAGCTGTCGTAGGTGTGGCATCCTTCCAGCTTGAAGTCATAGCTTCCGTACTTGTTCACGCAGAACGTGTTTACTCCAGACGCAATCTTCAGTGTTTCGGTGGGCGCCTTGGGCTCCGAAGGTCCAGTAACATGGGTGTATTTCATCTTCAAAAAGGGCGACAGAAATTAGCTACCATTTAATCAGTCTGTTTTACTCTACTTACCACTGCCCGATGGCTGGAGATGATGGACACCTCGTACCCCTTGTGCACAAATGGTGGTGCATCTTCTTCGGCTGAGGCCACGTTCAGGAATACACGGGTCGACTCGTAGCAGAGGTTGCCCTGGGGAATGGTCAGCTCATAGGGTCCTGGCAGCATATCCTTAAACACGTACTTGCCACCTGCGTTTAGAGATAGGGTTGGTTAAGTTCTTGAAGCAAGTTATCGTTCATAAAGGAGGTTATCTTTCAAAAATCTAAGTTTCTTTACCAACAAGACCTTATCTCTATGTTTATTTTATGATACTTATCAACACTTAGTTGCAACGTGGTAACTTGTGTCAACTTATTTTTGGCACTTTAAGGCTTTATACTTCATTTAAATAAAAATCCATCCGAATTACAAATTTCGTAGATTTTGTATATGAATTTTCATTTCCTAAGGATTTTAATTGAAGAGAGTATAATGTAATTTAGAAGGTCTTTTAAATTTATCATTCCAATTAAAATTTGAAAGTAGAATAGAGAACACTTTTCAGCCTTGGTAAAGTATTTTGCTCAAAGACCCCCTCTTATTTCTTCTGTTAAGTTGAACCTTGTTAAACTTGCTGATGAACCTATGGTTTCTAAGTAAAATTCTTATAAGTATGACCCTAAAGGTGCACTTACGATGAGCCCGGGCCTTCCACTTGTTCTCCGTGGGCTGTCCAGTGGCGTCCAGAGCCTGCAAAGTGACCTCGGCGGCCGTGCAGGTGGCGGTGGCATCGGACAGGCACTGGAGTTCGCCGCGAATCTTGGCGCGCAGCTGGGAAAAGGTAATGCCATTGACAGGTGCATCTCGCACCTCCGTCTGCTGCTGCACGGGGAAGAACTGCACGCCAGCTGCCTTGTCGGCACCCGTGGTCAGGACTTCAATGATGTACTTGCCCACAGGGAGGAAGGCACACCAGCTTCCACTCCCTGCCTCTGTTGTCGCCGTCGTGTGGAAGGTGGAGCCGCTCTTGGTCAGTCCCACGTTGTGGGATTTCGGGGACACCACTTTGCCGCACACCTCGTAGGCAGATGGCACAATTGTGGGCAGCGATGCAGTGTTGATCTGGGCCCTGACTTGCAGGGGCGAGAACTTGAGCTGCGAGGACTCCACCTCGATGTTGACAGTGCCGGCCTTCAGGTTCTCCAACGTATACGAACCCTGGGCATCGGTCTCGGCCACCTTCTTTCCGTTCACCTTAACAACGGCCGACTTCAGAGGTTCTCCTCCCGCTGAGGTCAATACCTGACCAGAAACTGTGAACCCTGTGATCTTGAACTCCTCCTTCAGTTGCAGCGTGTCCTTGCCCACCTCCAGCTCCAAAAACTCGGGGCTCAGGTGCAGTTTCAGCTTGGTGTCCAGATTTATAGCCTGCACCAGGTACTTGCCGGAGGGCACATTCTTGAATATATACTCTCCTGATTTATCCAGTTGGGAGAAGCAGGAGGCTGCAGATTCGTAGTCACTCTTGGCACTATTTGCCGGCGCTGAGGAAGATTTCTCGCATTTTGGCACTAGAGATTGCTGGAAAATTGAGTGTGATTCAAATTAGTTATTGGTAAGGTTTAAAATTTGTGCCTTTCTGGGCTTTTATACAGACAATTTTTCATTTTAAATATGACCATTCATTTAAAATATGACCATTTAAAATATATACTTCTAGCTCTTTGGATATAAGCCTGGAATTAAAAACCCAAAACAGAAAGGTATGTAAAACTTACTCCTTTCTTTTTGTAGATAGCCACACCCAGATTTCCGGGGAGCTGTGTGCTGGAATCGAAGCGACCAGCCACATCGAAACCGGAGACGACGAGAGAGTTTGCCGGCAGCTCGGTGTTGCCGCTGACCACCACCACGTTGTGCTCCGCCTTGGAGAAGTGCCAGCGCGCGTGGGAGGCCTTCACCACATAGTTGCCGGGTATGATGGGCGTGAAGGAGAACACACCGCTGGCATCGGTCTTAGTGCGCCGGACTTCGCCCTGCTCCGAGCGCAGCTCCACATCCACGTCACGGGCTCCGCCGCCGGTGGCGAGGGCCACCTGTCCGGTGATTCCGAAGCCCTTGAACACGAAGTTCACGTCGCGGCCCTGGCTGCACACGTCCGTCCTGCCGTCGAAGTTCAGCTCGACCTGTTCCGGCTCGAAACTCCAGCCGGGTGGCGGCGAAATGCTGAGCAGGTAGTCGCCCTTGTCGTAAATGGGCAAGAAGTAGTAGCCATTCGAGGGCGAGCAGTCCGTCTTGTCCTTCAGGGATCCCTGCTTGGTCAGCCTAGGAAAAAAGCGAGAAATTAGGTTAATCACATACCAGCTAGTTGGTTAATTTATTATTCAATTAGCAGCCACCATGCGCCAAAATCTTATCAGGTCATCCCCTATTCAGAAGGGAACTGCTACTCACAGCTTGATCTCCACCCGGGAAAAGTCAATCTCGGCGTGGCTCTTGATGAATCCCCCGCAGCCGACGACTTCCACTTCGCCGGCATTGGCATTTTGGAAAAGTTTAATTAATAAAATTAGAAAAAGGCCGGAAAAAAACCTCATTTTGACTACGTGCCCAGAGTGACCAGGGCTGCACCTTTCAAATACGGGTGACAGTGTGACCGTTCAAAAATACCATTCGTTTTATGGTAATGTACTAAAATACACTTTCAAATTGCAAATACCATAAAGAATACCACCAATATAACGGTCTTCAAAATGTTTCAAAAATTATGAGGTTTTTGATGCAACTTTTTATTTTTAAACAGAAAACAGTAAAAACAAAATATTTAAAATTTTAAACCCTTTAATATTTTATTACGTTTTAAATTTATGAATTTTGCAATAGTGGCTTT